GCAGATGGCCTGACTGTGGATATGGTTTGCCTGACAATAAATATCTACTGTGACACTTCAAACCCACCTGCTAAAAGAGAGATAGTTGTAACAGTTTATTAAAATCCATCCCCTTGTGACTCAGTCCATTTTTACAGCATGCCTGTCCCGTCACATTACATTATTGTAAAGCCTCATGGGAGCTAAGAGAAAAGCATTCAAGTGAGCAACCCATGTAGGCTGACGCAGTAGTCAGCTTTTCCGCAACGGTTGTTGTGGTTTATCATTGATTCCCCCGAAGGGTCGTACATCATTCATTGGGGATAACATGTTTATAATTGACATGCTTTTAGGTCAGAACATTTGCAGTAAACACCACCAGTCATGGGTTGAGAAATCCATGTCAGGATCTGACTGTTTTTTAGGCAACCCCATCCAAATCTGTCCATCAAAAGTGCGCAGCCAACTAGTTTGTTTCAGGCCACAAGCTTCAATTGTCCAAGATTCTTCAAAAAGCTTGGACATGTGATTGAGAAACACAGCTTTGATGGGAATGATATTTGAAATGTGGATGGGATGGGCATCACAATGGTCCAGACTCCTGATCATGTAGAAGAGATAGGTGTCCTGTTAGCAGTAGCTTGTGCTGTGTATGTACTGGGAAATGTCGTTCCTCTAGTGTTGGGTGTGGTAATTTCTCTGGATGGATGCAGGAGGAGGGTTTCCTCATCAACCATGCAAAGGTCAGTCCTGAGAGGAACGTGTGACTGTTGGTAGTCACCAACTGCAAAGAAAATGGGATATTGCTCCTTCTTTTCCCACCCCAGTATTCTCCTCCCCTGGATCTAGCGTCTATAGTCCATTTAAGACGATGAACAATGATGATCTATGTCAGTTTTTAAATGTAAAAGCATCTCGCGTTTCACTACAGACATTGTCAATGAGTGTGACTATGCACTATCACAAGTCGCAGATTGCCCTGAGCATCTGCCTCTCTCACTTGACCCATCAGGAAGAGAATCAACAAACTCTAACTTCAGCTGATTAATATTGTTTTAGTCCATCTGCTTTCTGTCCATTTCCCAAAGCAGGACCAAGGAACACTCCCAGTAGGAAGATAAAGACGAGACAATCATTAATCCTGACAGATACACCTGTGAAACAGGGACTTGAAGAGAAGAAAAAAGAAGAGGAACACTGGAAAATGTAGTAAAGCGAATAAACCTGCCTCTGGGAAAAAGCAAAAAAAAGAAAAGCCCAAGCCCAATGACCAAGAGGATTCTGAGTTCTGGCCTCTGAAGATTTGTGCGCATGGAACATTTTGCAAACTCAAGGCCGAAGGGAGTGCGGATCAAGTGTGTACGTCGTCAGTTCTGGGCCCACAAATGAATAAAGATTCATTTTTCTTTTTCTAATGGAAACGTGATGTGATATTTGACATTTGTTTGTGTTTTTTGAGACCAACACAAGTTCACTTGCAACATAAATTTATTCTGATGCTAAATGTTACCAGAACAGGTGGAGGTGAAGACAGAGGTATGACATCCTAAGTGACATAAAGAAGGGAAATAAAATAACTTGTATTTCATATATTTCTTGTCATGCTACAGTAACATGTCACCAAGATCAACATTAATAACCTATAATGACTACGCTGTGAGGAAGTGCATTATTTTTTCCATCTGGGACTGAAAGCCTAAGAAGAGTGACATTGTTGCCATTATGCCAATGTATAATATCCTTACAACCACTGGTATTAATGAAATCACTACACACACACACACACACACACATCCATATATATAGGACTTAGAGATATCTCAGCATTTACATAAAAAATCTTAGCTGTGCCAACAAACCAAGTTTTTCTCTTGTGTTGTCCTGTTGATCTCTTTTATCATTAGCTGCGGTTCATTACAAAGTCACGGAGTTCTGTTAAATTGTTTCTTTAGTTGTAGAAGAAGTACGCAGACATTTTACTTAAGTAGAAGTAGCAATACCACAGAATAAAAATAATCTGTTATAATCCAAAATCTAAATATACAAAAATACCAAAAGTAACGGCCCGTTTCAGAATGATATATTATATCACTGAATTGGTGATGCATTAATGTGTAAAAGCATCAGCTAAATGTATAAATGTAAGCATTGCAGGTGGGGAAAATTTGCTAAATTTAAGTGTTATATACTGCTGGTTACCTTAATCTATCATAATGTATTAGTTGGAAAATAATCTGAATCTACAACGTAACAGTAACTAATGTTGTCAAACAAATGTAATGAAGTAGAAGTACAAATCATAAATTGCTTTTGACAGTATTTTGCTGCGTGCAATGTACAAATTACAGTTACTTTAACAGCAAGTAAATGTAAGCCTACAGAGGTGAAATTTGACAATATGTAATTATAAGTTTCTCCAACTTGAAGAACATTAACATAACTGAAGATTTAAATCAGTTTATATTGCCTAACCTTTGAGTTATCAACTCTTTCATTTTTACAGTGATGAAATTGTGATGAATTTCATCACCCACCACTATCCGGCCACATTTTCAACCGACACACAACCTCAATCTAAAGGCACACCTTGTGTTGGCCACAGTTATCTATCCTCACATAGTAAGGACTATCATTTGAACCTAAGATGGATATGAGACAGGCTCTGTTATAGAAATTGTTGTCAATTCTTAATAAATAATTTCATGTAGATCTAAACATCTGTGTTGCATCATGCAAAATGATGAAAGGGTAGCCTACTTTAAAATGGCATGATGGGATACATACCAGTGGGAGAACAGGCTTTATGAATCTAATGAGGGGTGTGTGTGTGTGTGTGTGTGTGTGTGTGTGTGTGTGTGTGTGTGTGTGTGTGTGTATGAATATTTTATTAGTATTTGCTCCAGAACGAAGTGTGTCATTAAATCAACATGAAAACCTTTGGATATATGTCCCAAGAGTAGGTGCATTACAGCCAAACACAAAGACTTGAAAAACCTCAACATTTTGTTTCCCGTGGCAACAGCTGAAAATTACATTGAAAATGACGCCTTTAAAAATTGGGATTTCTAATTTATGCTGTTCTGATCTAACTGACTGACTCTGAACTGATTGTATCTTTGCAGTAGACTATTGGTTGCAATCCATTACACCTACATGGTTACGGCACTGGTCACCTGCCAAAACCTCTGCCTCCTCCTCCTCGGCTGGACTGCCCACCCTCTCTGGAGGTCATTACGCTCTTCATGCTGATTAGGGTTGAATGAATCAGCCTTTGTTTGGCTCCAGTTCCCACGACCCGGCATTCGCCTGGCAGTCGCGTGGCTCTAAAACAGGGGCCCTCGCTTTAAGGGACCCAAAGGTGGGGGGACATCTGGTCAATCTGACATCTGCTCGCTAACAGTTAACAGCAGATGTCTGACATTTGAAAATAGGGAGAGTGATCAAAGCTGGATAAATACACTGCAAGAGTCCTGCCATAGCCTACTTGCGAAGAAGAAGAGGTGTGCTGTGTCACTTCACTGACCTGCTGCAGCCAGTTGGTATGGTGAAGAAGAGGCGAAAGAATAGGCTAAATCAAAAGCCAGAATTGTAGCCTAGTCTGTCAATTGCAACAGAGTACTGGCCTAGAGCCCCTTTTAGAAAACAATAATAGTTATCTAAGATTTGGAGAATTATGTCAATATTAGGATATCAGAAAGAATAATACATGAGAATAAAGTCATAATAGAACTGGTTGCTTCCAGTCATATGTGCATGTGTTAGCATTTCCTGGCAGTCTCCAGTTATTTAGACTTGTAAAAAGTTTGGACTTCAGTGTGGCATCTGTCCTCTGACCGGTAGCTCTGTGTCGTTGCTGTTGCTGCGACACCTTTGCTCTGTTTGGGACTGTCTCACCACTCCAGGACGCTTCCCACTGAAGCGGCTGTGAGGTGCACTTTATCAGAAGTGGTGTGGTTAACGCTTGTGTAGATTTGTGGAGAAAATTAGCTGTGCCTGACCATTAGTGTTTTCACCTCCTTGTCTCATCCATACAGTCCCAAGCAGGGTTCTGTGTCCGCCAGATGGTCTGAAGGGGATACTACATCAGCACAGCAATTATGTAGGCTAATGCACTGCAGAGTATGAGGCAGGTAGAAATATAAAAAAAATACATAACCTATATTTTTACTTCATTCTCAATAAATTACGAATTTCTTCTTGTACTATTGGACTGCGAAATCACCATGAAATGTCAGAAAACACAGATATGTGGGATTTGAATGTGCAGAAAATTTTGAACATAAGCAGAAAACCTGCTGAAACATATGAGCTATTAAAGTCCAGGGGTTTATAAATGAATTAAAATTAATAAATGCATCATTGAGGTGGAAAGGTGCCATGTGCACATTGAAAGAGGTTACTTCACCAAACAAAAGACACAAAAGAGGATGGAAGACTAAATCATGCCCGCATGTGTGTTGACTCCGCAGGGATGATATAAATGAGAAAAGTTGATCAAAAGCCTAGAGAGTTCATATTTGAAAGCAATAGCCTACAGAATACCATGAGCCTTACTGCATTATAACCCCATTATATTTTGAATTGTTAGGTGACTATTGTGTTTCCCTTTACAAAGAAAGCCTCCAGACATTTCCAACATAAATGGAGGCGAAAAGGCAGCAATTGGTGCAGCAAAATCACCAGAATACAGGAAATGATGTATTTAATGCTCAAAATTGTCTTGGGTGGAACCGCAGATCCCCCACTTTACAGTATATGTGTCCCTTCCAATGTCGAAACGAAACCTATATACGCCCTTGCGGCAGATCTACCCTCAAGTGATTTGTCAGACTATTATGTCTTCCCGTGAGCTCTGGGGGAAAAGGTTTGGCCTCTTTGCAGGTAATGTTGCTGCTGAAAATAAAAGGCGAGGGGCTCCCCGGAGTAAAGCACGGTAACTGCACACTCTTGTTCATCCCTGGGAGAAGAGGAAACTGCAGTTTTGTGTTGGGTGGAGAGTAGGGAGGGAGGCGGAGGAGGGCAGTGCATGGTTTCAGGCTGGACATCTGTCGCTTGTGAGCTTTTTTTTTTCTAGGTCGGGTCTCTGGGTTATTGAATGGAGCCAGTGACCTGTCAGTCTTGACTGATAGGACCCCGTGTGTGGGAAAATCCCGCTGCCAAAGAGTTGAAGCATTCACATGCTAATTGCGCCCGATAAATAAGAGGGCCGTGCCGCGCCGAGGGCCCTAGAGACGCGCTGAGATTCGGAGAGGAGGCACAAGCGCACAGACACCCGAGAAGAAACATGACTGCTTCATCCATGGCGCACGACGTGGGGAAAATCCTAGTGCCAAGGAGGAGAGGAAGGTATTTTAATCTCGGATACACTATAGATACTCCTTTAGGAAATACTGTGTTTGCCACACACACTCCACCATGGTGCCTCACCTCCCTGGCTGCCTTTAACCGACGCTTTTTTTTTAACCCTACAGCTGAGAAAGCCGCTCATTGAGAGGAAACGACGAGAGAGGATAAACAATTGTTTGGATCAGCTGAAAGAAACTGTGATCGGTGCGTTCAGACTTGATGTGAGTATTTCCCTCACGCCTGTCATCTCCTCTGCAAGTAAACAACTGAGGCTGAATCAAGTTAACTCCAAGGCTTCTCGTCTCTCAACAGCAATCTAAACTGGAAAAGGCAGATATTCTAGAGATGACGGTGAAACATCTGCAAAACATCCAGAGTAATAAACTCAACGGTAAGTAACATGGCGCTGTGCACTTGTCTTTGTGAGTCAGGTGTCTCCTATTTAGGCCTACTTGGATTATAGTTTTTATTCACCCCCCGTTATCTCAATCATTTGTGTCATTCCTTGCGCCACACATTGGCAATACAGAATATGCCAGGAAATAGCTTGAGGCACCAGAGAGCAGCACAAAACATTTAGGCTACCTCAGGAGAGTGACAAAAAAAAAGGTTCAGCTGTAAAATGATGATCAGAGGAGGGTTGTATGTCTTTTAATAGTTAGCTGAACTTATGATGCTCTGTTGTGAAATATATAGGCCTACCTTATTACTGCGCAGCTTTCTGATGGGAAAAAGCACCTGTTGAAGCTACCTTACTGGGTGCATGTTGTGCTGTCGCCACCAGGGGTTGCTGTAACTTCACACCTCATCCTTTCTCTCCTGCAGATCCCACATTAGGCCTGGAGGCCCAACAGAAGTACAGCACCGGGTACATCCAGTGCATGCACGAGGTCCACAACATGCTGCTCACCTGTGACTGGATGGACAAAACTTTGGGCTCCCGCCTGCTCAACCACCTCCTCAAGTCCCTGCCCAGGTCCACCGAGCCCACGCCCACATGTGATGTCCCTCTTCAGACCAGCCAAGGCACGGGACTCCCCGGTACACCCCTCAGAGGAGACCCCCGTGCTGGGAGGCAACTCCAGAGAGAAGGGCCCTCCTGCCATGTGGCTGGGCACCTAGAGAGGCCAGGACTCCACAGCTCCCACCTGGGGATGCTGGAGATGTGGAGGCCCTGGTGAACAGGTGGATTAATGATGTTGGTTATTCATTTTGTTAGACCATCCTCTGTTATGTATCTTATAGATATGCTGCTCAGAAGACAAACGTGGGGCAGTTTTTGTTCCGGTGATTATTATTGTAGGTGTGCTATAATGATTCTATACAGACCTTTTCTCAGTACTTCCCTTCAGAAGTCGACTTCTTGTAGCCTGCATTATAGAAGGCTCTTATTAATCTTTCATGTATTTATTGTATTAACAGCTTTATTTATTTGATATTATAAGGCGTGACTTTGCTTCTTAGACCACTTGCTTGGCATTGATTTGTATGTCTTCCTCCTTTGCTGTATGATTAACCCAAACATTAATAACAATAAAACTTTAAATTGCACACTCTTGAGGTTGTAATTAGCTTCACGAACAATCTTGTCAATTGCTCTTGTCAATTATGTTTTGACATTTCTGCTATAGTGGCAATGCTGTAGCCTACAGAAGGTAAAGAAATTAGCATAAACAGACCTGTGTGTGTGTGGGGGGGGGGGGGGGCAAGACATTAGCATAGAGATTAACCTTTTTGTAGGCTAGTATGAGAACATTTTTAAAGCTGCATTAATCAATAGTTCATATATATTTATGTCCTTTAATGACTTGAATGTGAAATGCGTCACACAGACAATTCTATGACCCAATTCAGAGCTCAATGCATCTTTTTAGCCATTTTTAGCTCATTGTTGCCATAGTTCCGTCTCACCATGTTTCCAGCAACAGCAGACTGGTGTTTTCAGTAAATAAACTCAGATTAACACACCACCTGCCCAGCAGCAAATGTCAGACAGACAAAATGAGCAGCTAGCAAGGGAATAAACCTCACTAGGTACTAGACCAAGTGGAGAATGTTGGCCTTTCTTTTTACTGCAGACATTTTGACTTTATCATGGTAGGAAAAGCACAAGTGTAGCCTACTAACAACACTAATAATGCTGCTTTTCAATGTATGTGTCTCTGCACAATATGGTCCTTGAGCATGACACTGAAGAGGAGGAAATCAGCCATTTTACATTTTACACGTGCTTTTGTACTGCGACATGTCAAAATGTCCGCCACGAGATGGATGTTGCTGTTTAATGTCTGTTTACTGGCTAACACATCAGTTACAACTACATCATCACATTGATAATATGTCAGGGGTTTGGGAGTTTTTCCTGCCCCCTAGTGACCACAATTGCAACTTTAATTAAAGGGTCAGTGCACCTAAATCACAAAGCAACATATGTTCTTACTAAAGGCAACCTGTAGTGCAATCTGTTTTATGTGATGAGGTATTTACACGCTCAGTCAATACATTGGAGGTGACTGGAATTTCATTTGTGGTTCTCAAAGTCGTTTTTACAGTAAATACTTTCCAACATGTTAGGAAAAGCACAGGCATAAATGATAAAAGGAACAATGGCTGAATTGCACACCATTATGGCTCATCAGGACACTTGAATGGAATAGAGCCATCATTAATGTTATTTTAACACCTGTGCTGTGCTGTTCCCACTATGACAATTTCCATATAGTGACAATTTCTTGGTTTACAGTTCCAGTGAAAGCTAGTCAGGGTGAGGTCTGTGGACTATCCAGGCCATGCTGTCTTTGAGTTCTTCAAATGTTATCTTGTGATGCTTTCAGCACCACAAAGGAAATTCCATTCACCCCCATTGTATTTGGAGTGGTGACAGAAGACTGGTATCTCAAAACTTACGGGTCTGATTGTGTATACAGTCTTATATGATTCTGGTTGTATTATAGGTGGCCTCTGTCAAAATTAAAACATTCATAAGGAATTCCCAGTGAGGCTTGAAATAGGGGTTTGGGAGGACTTTATAGCATCTCAGCCATCTCCACATTTACGTTTTAACAAAGATGTAATTCATCATTGGGTTTAGAAACGCGCATATGGCCCATTCTCCCGATATTATTGCCGTTATGATTGGCCGCCACATGGAGCCAGGCGGCTGGTCTGAAGAGATGGGGAGGGGGGTAGGAGGCTCCTGGTCCCTTAGCGGAGCTCACCAACAAAAGCGAGCCGAGACAGCTGCTCTCGCCACAGTCCACACCATTAAAGATCTGGAACAGGGATCTGTGGGTGGCGAGGTGCCAAAACCCCTCTACTTGAAAGGTCTGAAACTCTTCCTTCATTTGGGGCACTAGAGTTTTGTGGCGCTGCGAATGATCCGAAGTTGTGGAAATACTGTGCGTAAAAGAACACCTGAAAACACATAACAGCATTTACCTGGCACAGATGCCTGCATGGTCCTTTTTCGAACTGCTCTATTGTGAGGAATATTTGCAAGACAATACCATACATGTAGAATAACGAGGGCGCGGAGAGCTGAGCACTCTTATTAGACATAAACAAATAGGCTAGAAATTGTGCGCAAACGACTAAACCAGCACATCCAAACGCAAGAAGCATCATGTACATATCAACAGCCCAAATGTTGTTAAATGATAATAGCTTCATAATTTATGTTTATACAACACATGACAATGAATGACTATGTAGCACGACGTTATTAACAAAATCAACCAGATATTATAGACTCTCATAGCAAAGCAAGCAACATGAGAATTCTGTTTCACACAAATCAGAAGTCACCAAACAACGGGGAGAACAAATGAGGCGCAGGCTAACACCTGTCGCTTTCTTTGGAGAAGGGCCCTTAATTCCCCCGGCTGATTCAGTTTGGGTCGAGGGGCCGCCGGCAGCAGCTGCCAACTGAAGGCATCGCGTTACATCCACCAAACAGCCGGGTAAATCTGCTGAGGCTCAGGCACAAAAGCCAGCAGAAAGAAGAATGGGTAGGGCAGAAAACAGACCAAGCAGATTCTCTCTGGTAGCAACACTGAGATGCTCTGATGCGTAAAAGTAGCCTGAAAATTGCGCCTTAAGATAAAATAGGAAGCACTGTTTTTGAATAATACATAGTTTCCATAGGCCAGGCTTACGTTGAATCTATATCACAGCTCAGTCTTGAATAAAGGAATAGGCCTAATTGCAAGGATACGTTTAACAGATATTATAGATCACAGAGTTTGATTCAAAAGTAAAATGTGGTTTCTCTCTAACAGCCTCTCCTGCTGCTGCATAGGATAATAAATTGATTCAGGTGATTGGAGATAGGCCTACACACAGTTGATTAGGACCCACAGTGGAAGAAAAAAACAGAGCGGTCGGTCCCTTAACCCAAGAAACTATCTGATTAAAAGCCCAACCAGCTCCTCGGCGCAGACCGGGGCCGACCGGAGACAAAGGGAGTGGGCTCTCATTGGCTCCGACCGTGTGCGCTCTGTTGTCCCCCAGCGAGAGCAGCTCGGCCCCTATTCACATGTTAATAACCCCCTATAAATACTAACAACAGCCACTCAGCGCCAGCAGCACGTCTCACTAGGATTGCACAATAAACACAGGGCGCCTCGCCTCGCCTGCGAGTTAGTCGTTTTTTTCCCCCTCCCCTGAAACCGGTTCCGTTTGCCAGCTGCCCCTCGCTGACGACTCGGGAGGAAAAGCAGCAGTAGGAGAAGCCACAGAAGCGGCGATCCAACCAACATGGCCCCCTCGGTTCGGCCCAGCAGCACGGGACTTGATATGGAAGAAGATGAGTCCGGCTACGGGATTCAGAAAGCGGACAGAAAGGTACAGCGGGACTGCCGAGGGGATAGCAGGCACTCTCTGGACTCAGTTGTCACGCCGGTGACTGCGTCGCTGCAAACTGAGTTTTGTGCCAAGAATATTTAGCTCAAGAGGAAACCTAGTGAATCTGTCAGTTAACCACAGAGAGCGAGAAGCGGTAAGTTTGGGTCACTGAATGAAATGTGATCTTTGTGTTCCTGCAGACTAGGAAACCTCTGGTGGAGAAGAAAAGGCGAGCTCGCATCAACGAGAGTTTGCAGGAGCTGCGGACTTTGCTGGCAGATACAGACGTGAGTACGGCGCGCGCATAGTGCACCTCACCTGTCCCTGTGATACAGAAGTAGATTTGGGTTCTGATGGAGCTCTACTGGTTGCTTCCACAGCTTCATGCCAAGATGGAAAACGCAGAGGTGCTGGAGATGACGGTGAAAAAGGTGGAGGACATACTGAAGAACCGAACCCAAGGTCTACACAACTCTGCTCAATTTACACTTTAATTACACCCAGGCTTACTTAGCAGTTCAGGGAAATTCAGTCTAAACATTTGACATTGGGGAATGTTACAGTGTTCCTAACCCAAATGCAGGGCAATGGTTCCCTAAACTATGGGTCAGGACCTCCACAAGAGGTCACAAGAAAAAATTCAGAAGTCAAGAGATGCTTAACAGGGAAAAAACTATTTCTGCTGCACAAAGTCATGTTTTATTTCACAGTTTCCTCTAATCTTTGGAGCTTTTGCTTCTTTTATTCTTCGGGACTCTAAAACGTATTAACTAAAAATCACCCTGGGTGAACTGGTCACAACTGGTAAGCATATAGAACTGATAAGGTAGGGGGTCGCAAGTAGACATTTCTTTGAATTAAGAGATCACAAAAATGTTGGCAACCACTGATTTTGTGGTATTTTATCAGTAGGTTTAATCTGATTATTCTGCGTTCTCGGCTGGATAACCAGGAAATAGCGGCAAATGTCTCACACCAGTAAGGTACAGTCATTTCATAGTCTTTCTCTCTCCTCCCACAGAAACAGACACACTCAACCAAGAAGCCAGTGAGAGGTTTGCGGCCGGCTACATCCAGTGCATGCACGAGGTCCACATGTTTGTGTCCAACTGTCCTGGGATAGACGCAACGGTGGCAGCGGAGCTCCTCAACCATCTCCTGGAGTGTATGCCCCTGAACGAGGACCACCTCCAGGACGCGCTGATGGATCTAATCACTGACACTTCAGGGAGTAACAGCAGCACTTGGCACGGAGGTGGCGAGGCGGTCTGTGCCACTCTGGCTTCACCTGGAGGAAGGAGTCTATCCAGCGGCTCATCCTCGGCCCTCTCCCCGGCACCCTCCACCACGTCCAGCGAGGACCTGTGCTCCGACCTGGACGAGACCGACAGCGAGCACAACCAGAGCTCCACTGAGGGCTTGGAGATCAGGGATGCCCTAAGCATGCCCACCATGACCTACAATCGGTCTATGTGGAGACCCTGGTAGGGGTCTAGGCTTTGGATGGGATGCAGTTGGGATATGTTGAAGGGTTTGGGGGTTTATTTTAAGATGTGACATTGGGCCTCTTACCGGAAGGAAAAATTCCACCCTACTACACATTGAAAATAACCACTTTTAGTGACGTACCTTTCATTTCTGGACTCATCTGCTCCTGCAGATAACTGGCCACATGCATGGAATTTTTTTCTGAATTCCCCATATTGATGTTCATTAATCCAACTTGTTTCTTTAAGACAGAGAGACAAATCTGTCCACTGACAACAGCCTCAGTTGACCAAAATGCAGTACAACTGCAGATCGCGTCGCATTTTGTGGAGGAACCTTGACCGTGGCTTTTCTCTTCAGCCCTTCCTTGGAATTCTGGGAGATGAGGGAAACCACTCAGTGAAGTAGAAATAGACAGTGCAAGTTGATGGGACAACATTTCATCTGGAAAACACTCCTTAAGTGCTTTGGATATCACCGAAAAACATCTAACAGAGTGTTAAAGGGTGCAGTTTTCCTTTATCTCATTAGAGGGGCTTTTCCTCTCAAGGGCCCCTGCAGCTCGGGGCCTCCGGAAAGTAGCCTACTCTCCTTTTCCTTTTCAGTAGTGACTCCCATGGCTGCAAGTCCTCTGTTGTGACTTTTCTTTACACCTGGAGAAAGATGAAACCTTCCCTCTCAGCATTCACTTATAACCCAACAAAGGACAGATGAGGAACACTCCAAGTTCACACTGTCATGTGTCAGTAACTCTGTGTATATAGGATTTGTATGTGGAGAAAAGCTCTTTTAGAAACTGAGACGTTTGGCAATGCTCCTGATTAATATAAATATTTCTATTGTATTTCATAAAGACCTGTAGTTTATTGGACCAGTAGCCTCCTTCAGAATGATTACTTTATCTTGTAATGATGTTCAGAAATGCAAGTAAAATGTCTGAATTTGCTAAATAAAATAATAATTGAAGTTGAATGCTGTTGTCTGACTTGACTCAATATAACAGGAACCAGGATAAAAAATATTTTTTTCTTAAAATATATAATACGGTCAGGGAATGTTAATTTGTTGTTTAATTTAAAATTATTTTAACTGATGTTATTTTAAAGAGATTGAAGTTTGAAAGCATGGTTTTCTCTGCTAATTCTCACAAAATGGCGCAACAAGCTAAATGTCCATGTCTTCTCACCAGGAGGACGTGAAAAAGTCGCACCTCTCCAAGTAGGCCTATCACTGGCACCTCAGACACGATGAGCATTATAACAAGGGGCCGTTAGATCCTGTCTGGACCAGCCATCCACCCACAGAGACGCAGAGTACATGACCCCTCACTTCCTCATACGAAATGAAACACTGAATAAAAACATTTTGTCTCGTTTTTCAAAACATATTCTGGTAGTAGGCAAGTAGTCTAGTAGGCTACACGTTTTTTACTGTCTGTTGTCAGATGACGCCTCTTGAAGGAATAATGAACAAACCCAAGCAGAGGAGGAGGAGGAAGGGTGTTCACAAACTGGACCCGGGTGTGAACGTCGGAGGAGACACATTGAAATGGAGCGGACGAGACACGGTGATCAAAGCTGCGACCATTTGACAGAGGAGCGTCAAAAGATACTACAAAGGACACAAGCAGGCTCAGATTCTTCAAAGGGACTAACAAGCGCGCACACACACACACACACACACACACACACACACACACACACAATTAAGACCCAGTGATGAAGATAAGACCAGTATTCCGATCCTTTTCTTAAATGAAAGTAGCGTCTAGTTCAATGTAAAAAACAAAACTTCACCTACAAGTCCTGCAAACAATCCAAAGTCAAAGCAGACTTTGATCAGAAAACTGTAGCCTACCATCCTCCAAATGGTTCCTTACAAAGGAGCATAGGCCACAACTCAAAAGTTGTCTATATTTTTGGCCCATGATTAATCATGAATGCCTTAATAAACGATATAATAAATAAACTGATAAACCCTTCAAGTTTGCTTTATTATTTAGCACATAGCATTTTAATGTTGCAGCCCAGTTGGTCAAAATGAATTAAGCTACATTATGGGCTATGCTAGCCTATATTTGTTAGCAAATGTTTGTTTATAAAATATGAAAGTACTAGTTAGACATTTTGGGAAAATATCTTATTCGCTATCTTGTTGAGAGTTAAATGAGAAGATCAAAATGCCCCCTTGTATCTGTTACAGAAATGGCTATAGCCAACAGCTGGTTAGCTTAGCTTTGCACAAAGCCTGGAAACGGGGAAACAGCTAGCCTGGCTCTGTCCAATGGTAATGAAAGCCACATACCAACACAACTATTACTTAATAATGTGACATTCTGCTAAACTAAACGTCTGCAAGCTGTAGCTTTTAGGCCTATTTCCCAAAATATTACAGACCATATAGGCTATATATAGCCTATAGCCTATTTTCTATCTACCCTATCTATCTGTAGTAAATGCAGCCTATTAGTGGAACGAGCCACATTCCTTTCTGCATCAGAATCAGAATCCGCTTTATTGCCAGGTATGCGTATATATACGAGGAATTCGACTCAGGGTTGTACATGGGCTCACGATGTGCTTACTTGTACAAAAATACCATAACACAATAATAAAATAAATAATAAAGAGTGAAAGTATAAAGTAACATAAACCTTAAAATAGTAGCCTACCTAAATGTAAAAAAAAATGACTTTATGCGTGACAAGTCCTACGTTACTATCTCAACCAAACAACAACTGTGTTAAATGTTAAAATTTTAAATCCTAGGCCAAATGTATAAATATTTCAACTGGCCCAGATCCACCACTACACATTACACGCACACATACACATTTATATAGTGATCTTGGATGCATCGCTGATTGAAATGATATGGTCTCATCAGTGTTTCTCTCACCAAATCACCAGCAGTTCCTAGTTTAACATCCCTGGGACTGCTGTCTTTTTCTGGAACAGTTACTTTGGTTTGGTAGATTTCACTCAAACCCTGTTTCATACAGAGTAAATTAAATTACAGGAGGCCTATACAATGTCCATAAACAAATGCTCAGTCTTCAGACACACCAGTCCTTGTAATTTTGGACCGCTGTGTAATTTGAAACCCCATGGTGTGTATGTTTGGGTATATGAAAGGAAGCAGGTGGGTGAATGGGTGTGGATGTTGACTTTAAGGACCCTCAGCCAAATTAAATTAACGTCACCCCCCCCCCCCAAAAAAAATCTGACCTCTGAGTTTGTGACTATGCATCTGAATTCTGAGGTTAAAGGTCTGTGCAGCGCAACAGTTGGCGTGAGAGCAATTCAACGGCGGAGGCGAGCATATGGCGCTGTAACAGATCCCCGGGGGGACCCTGCCATCCTTGGGCGCTTCTCAACTGTCTTTGACTGTGAGAGAACAATTGCTTCCTATAGTGGAGGAGCAGCATGCTTATGTGTGCTGTATCCAGGACGCAATGCACTTGAGCACACGCAGCAGTTTCATTTGACTTCTTATCTTGTCACACGAAAACAAGCTTTGGAATGACATGTCTAGAATGATATTCATTCAGTTAAATAATTTAAAGGGAACCTCCACCAACTGGTGCGTACCCTACGACCAGGCATGTGAAAACATATCTTTTGTGACTCTGGAGGAGCTTTGACAAGTTTGAGAAAATAACTCATTAAAAAAAAGTCTATTGTCTCGAGTCTGGAAACCGCTTTAATTGCATCCAAGAAAAAGGTTTTAGAGCTCTTCCCATGGATTCATGGCTTTCTGGCACTCTTTGATAAATTACTGGACTGGAGGCCTCCCATCACTACACTGCATTATAAAGTATATCACAAGCTGATTTGCCTTTACCAACCCTCTCATATTTACCCAATACACATGGAGAAATGTGCGGAAAAGTTGGGTGAGCATTCCAATGGAAGTCTAGTAATTATGTTAAATGATGTGTTGTCATTGCTTGAGCTGTGATGATGAATGTATTAGTGAAATCCTGATAAAAATAATAATCTTAATTTTATTTTGTGTGATTGTTTCTTATATTTCAAGCACAAATGCGAAAGATTTGATGATTCCAGGTTCTCAAATGTATGAAATGCGTTTTTTCTTGGTCTTACATGTTAGTAAATTAAATATCTTTGGGTTTAGGACTGTTGATTGGACAAAAGACGTCAACTTGTGTCAACTGTATCTATCCATCAGTCTTATAAATAGCCACACGTTAGCAATCTGTCTGGTATCAGAAACCTTCCCACACAATTTACATCCCTTGAACTATCTTACAAAAGAATGGTCTCATTTCATTTCTGAAATTATGGGCACCCTCTAAATAAGTATTTGGTTGACTCATTCCAGAGATACATTGATTAGGCTAACCAGCATGTATGAAACCCAAAACTGTATACATAAAATGCATAAAAAGAGGCACCAGCGACCATATTATACTTTCAAGTTTATCGTTTGTCTTTCTTCTTCAAGCCAACAATGTATGACCATAATATGTTAAGGAGCCAGAAAATAAGTAATCTGAATCAAACAGGTGATATTTCTGTAGTTTTATTATAACATTGTCTCCATGTTGCAAACAACACATCTTACCTACAAAAATGCACAGGACTGTGCTAGTTTAGCATACCACAGACTCATACAATGGCAATTAAACACATTTACATGACTGTACATAGCATCATGTGCCAGTACCGTGTGTATGAATTTATAGATCAGAGTGCTTCCGACCACCCACCAGTGTGCAATTCATTTAAAAATGGATTCCCTGTATGCAAGGCAGCATCACTCTTACTCCCAACATCTCAACAGCTTATTTCCACATATTTTAGTTTCCATTCACGCATTCTTAATGGTTTACACACAGGTGGGCGTTGGAGGCCCCCTTCGAGATATTTTGCACAGAAAAGAGACAAAAGACAGAGATAGATTGTGGTTGCTAAAGGTGGTGACAGGTGCCTGTCCTCTCTGTGCATTCAGAAGGAGTCAACAAACCCTATGCCAATCTAAGGCAGAGACTCGCAGTACAAACCCATCACTCACAGGAATCACTCGAGTATCTGACCGCTCTGTCCATTGTGCTTTGCCCACATGCACACACATGTAATGTCCTGTGTACAGTAACATGACCTGGGATTTATTAGAGGTAGGGTCCATCCCCAATGACACTCAAAAGTGTCCACATTCGTCAAACAAATACTACAAAACACACAAGAAAAAAACAGTAACAATAAAAAAAAAAAAAGAATCATGAAAACAAACTAAGCCACTGAGATGCTCTTGGTCCAGTCTCTTACATTCACAAGCCCCAACAGTTTCTCTGTAGTACTGTTTACCTCGACTACAGGGGGCCAATGTGGATCACAGTTTCCTCAACACTACATGTTAGATAACAAGGGGCTTCCACGGTTGCTGATGCATGCATGTATTGTATGCACCATTTCCTGCGTAACCCAGGTTCCTACATAACTGAGGCAACATGGTCCCCTTATATGCTACAATTGTAATGCTGTCTTCCAACTACAATCTATATTTAAGTGCTCAGTATTGACCTCTGTTGAAAGCACGATATCATGCTACCCTTTGAAAGGATCTGTACTGCTGCACACACATCTGCAAAGCCCTAGGGTTTAGAGTCCTTCCCTCGTCCGCCTGGTGCTTAAAATTTGCCAGTATTGTAAAAGAAAAAAAAAAAGAAAAATCAGAGGAAAAAAAGAGAAAAAAGGTCCTCGGTGTGGTAAAGCAGTTCATTAAGTGTGTGTTCCTATTTTTTAAGCTGGAAAAATCTGTGACAAAATGAGAAAATAAATGTCTCTGAAAAAGGAGACAATGTCGTTTTGCATAATGTAAAAATTCCTAAATAGCACTGTTTTGATCTAAAAATTACATTTTGTAGAAGAACTGCACCATATTGACAGAAAAAGAAAATTACTCAACAATTTCAGTACACGGATACATCGTTCTCTTAAAAAAGAAAACAACCATCCTCTTTACCTCTGCTTTTCATGCATCAATGTTCTGATGTTGATTTTTTTTCTATAAGAAAAAATATTTCAACAGCTTCTTAATCTGTGATGATGCCCACTTCTTCATAGCACCTGTGCTGTTTAAAGGTCGGCAGAGGCATACAGCACTTCAAGGCTCTAGTTTTAAGAGTAAAGTGGCTTTAAATATCCCGTGAAGTTAATTGTCAACACCTGTCAACTGTTATTTGTACTGTATAAATACTGTCCTTAAGCTGAATGGATTTGGCTTTAGCTTTAAAAAAAAAAAAGAAAACTATTCTAGATACATTATCTGGTAGAAAATAAATAAGATACTTAGATAAATGGACAGCTTGCACTATGTATCAGATTGTCACTGGAAAGTTCAGCCTAGATGTCACTGTGTTGGCTGTTGAGTCAGGTTCTACCACTGCTGTGCCTGGATATTGCAAATTCTCAGGTCTGAGAAAAGTAGTGGGGTAAAAACTCATCCATGATACAAAAGTGGGAGTTCCTGCCCTTGGACCCTGACTACATCATCCATTGAGGACTAAAACCATTCTACATAGTTCCTCGTGGGAAAACAAGGGGGATCCTGTGGCTTCAATGGGACCATGTGGCAAAACAAGGACAACACAAACATAATGTCTGGTAGCAGAGTATTTACACAGCAATACTGGGCTCTTTGTTAATGACATTTTAAAACTGTTGAATGACAATTATTTTTGCCAAAGTATATATATATATATATATATATATATATATTTTTTTTTTTTTAAACAAATATATTTTAATACTATTAATTTAGTCTTTTTTTAGAATAAGTGCTCATGTTGCTGTGAAGCTCTGTTGACTGACAAAAATGGGAAACAATTAAATAAAAAACAAAAAATCTGAAGGTTACCAACAACACAGGCAGGGTCCAGGTCATTTTAGAGAGAGAAAGTGTGTGTGAGCTGGCAAAAGTACTATCTGAGGGTCATGCATACAAAGACCCTCAGAGCGTTACTGCCCCCTGTATGGGCACAATAAGAACTGCACTTCAGCAGTTTTCCTCTACACAACACACGGACGCACATCCTCATATTTCACCACAATGGCAACACAGAGTTCTGCTTGAGTTCATGTTGTGTGTGTTTGTCTCACATCCACATTGTGTATGTGTGTGTCTGTGTGTGCGCATCATGAGGGTCCATGGCTGGTCGAGTGTGTCCCCCTGCTGGCAGTGTGTGTGTTCAGGAGCCAACGTCTGGTTGAGACTGAGGTTCCTCTGATTGGGTCGGAGCGTTCTGGCTCTCTTGCCTAAACTCTTCACCCAGCTCGCCCATGTCCATGTCTGGCATGTCCTCCTCGATGGGGTCTGCTGCTGCATCCTCGCAGTATACACACTCCTAAACACGTACACAAAGCAGATATTAAATATATTTAAATATGACTACTTTCATACTGTTTCAGCTGTTCTTCTCAGAAACATCATGGGACACAGAATCCCTGAAGCTTGCCGCTGGCAGCTGGTTAGCTTAGCTTAAGAAACAACTACACTAGCTCTCCCACCTAGCAGCCCGCCTAACGAAGTAGTATGGTAGTGGTATTGATCTACTCAAACTCATGTCAACAAACATGTATCCTGGATTTCAACAAAGCAGAAGAAAAATGTAAGAATAGGTGGGAGCAGTGATGGACTTAATGTGGAATGCATGCACAGATTTTTCAGGCAAACAACAACAAGGGTGTGGTCCTGACCTTCACATTGATCGCAGCAGGCAGGCCTCCCCTCCTCATCCAGGGGTATTCCTCCACGAGCTCTCGTCGCTGGTCTGAGGAGAAGTGAGGCTGGCTCTTCTGCATCTGTCTCAGCCTCTCTTTGTCTTCTCGCAGAACCTTCTGAATGTCCCTGTGGTGCCGGGAAACACATATTACAGAAGGGCCTCTAATGGAAAAATTAACTGACTGATTGATGTTCATCATTTTTTTAATCTTTTGTTGCATAATTGGCCTTTGTTTGAAAGTCCCTCTAAATTAAAACCTAATCGCAGTCAGTGACTTACCTGGCAGGCATCTGATAGGTCATCATGACCTTGTCGTCAGCATTGGCCATCAGCAGCCAGATGGGCTCCTGGAGAACGTATTTGCTGAAATGCTCTCCATCTGCTTGGGTTGAGAGCTTGGTTTGTGACTGGCTGCCTTCAGAGCCTTCTTCGCCTCTTGTCTTGGCTTTGGCTTTGGGGTCGTGTTCCAGGGAGTCAATGCTGCCAAAGTATTTGCTGGTGTTGCTGCTCCCTATACACAATTTTAGAGAGACAGGAAAGCAGTGGAAAATAGACATTAACACATGACTTTTTAGGAAATGTTGAATATTTATACCAACCTATCAGAGACTAGTAATATGACAAAGTAAAATAAATAAAAGTTGCGTTTACTCAGCGGTCAGATATGCTCATCAAGCCTGGGTGTTCCTCTACTGACCTGTTCTGCTGCCAGAAGCTCCACTAGCTGATGTACGACAGCCTGAGCCCAATCCGGAGCCCAATCCAGAGCCCGATCCTGAGCCCATGGATCCAGAGGTGGCTGATCCAGTGCCAGAGTGGGAGTCCTCTTGCTCCTGCAGCAGGATGTCCAGCAAGTCGCAGGATGAGGAGTTACCATCGCTGTGAGCCCCATCTACTGGAGACTCCACCTGAAACACAAGGCAGCAAACCATCAGAGATAAACCCACGAATTTCAGTGGCGTGCTGTGACAGGCTTTATGTGGAAGTGGAATGAGTGACTGAAGCCTGATGGTGAATCAAAGTTACTGTCATACTGTCTATCAATCGGCTCATTGGGTTTCTCACCTGCTGGTGGTTTTCAGACTGGGCCGCGCCTCCGTTCTTTTCCCCTGCTGCTCCGGCTGTACTGTTGCCCTGGCCTCCAGCAGGGAGTGCTGTGCTGTCCTGCCGTTCCACTGAGCGCTGTCCATCCTCCATGCTCAGCAGATTGAGCTGCAGGGGGGAGCTGCACCGCGACTCAAACAGCGGCGGTGACGTGGCGGGCTCCCTCGCTCCAGAAGCTGGGGTGGAGGAACGCGATGCCGCCCCCTCTCGGGGCTCCACAGCCAAGGCTTTAGAGGGCTCGGAGGCTAGACTGTAAGGGAAGGCCTGAGCTGAATATGGAGCTTGAGCCACAAATTGAGTCTGCACTGGGAAAGAAGGCTGGGCAGCGAAGGGCTGCTGGGTAGTGTAGGCAGTCTGCGGGGTCGTGAAAGGTTGCTGGGTGGCGAAGGGCGTCTGAGCAGTTTGAAATGGCTGCTGGGGGGTAAATGCCGTCTGGGGGGCCTGGAAAGGTTGCTGGGTAGCATAGGGGGTGTGAGTTGTTTGGAACGGCTGCTGCGGGTTAAAGGCAGTCTGCAACGGGAATGGCGGTTGGCTGGTGTAGGGGGGTTGTGTTTGAATGTTGTAGGCCGGCTGTGGGGGCTGAAAGGGCTGCTGAGTAGTGTATGTCGGCTGCGTTTGGGTCTGCTCAGGGAAAAACGCTGGTCTAGGAGCAGCCCCCAGCTGTCCTAACTGTCCTATTTGGGGGAAGATATAATTGGGTAGCACCAGAGCCACCACAGGTGTAACAATTGGTGCAGGAAATGGAGTGGCAGTAGGAGGGGCTTGGGTGCTTTGCCCCTCTCCAAAGCCTGCAGAAAGGGATGGGTCAGTGTGGGGGACCTGAGCTGGGGCAGCAGGTGCTGGGGGGTAGAGTGGGTAGGCAGGCACCATGGCTGGGTAGGAGACATTAAAAGCGGACTGGGATGCTTCTGAAGGGGACCATGAGGTTTGGTTGAGACCCTGGAGAGGGGGCCGGGGTTTGCGGTTCGATACAGCGCTATCTGACGAATCAGGATGCTTCATCCGTGGTTTCTTGGACTTCCGGTTGCGGATGCCCTTCTTGGCAGTAGTTTCGGGCCTGGTGGTGCCCTGTTTGGCTGCACCTCGTGGTCTAGATGATCCTGAGATGATACATGGAGAAGTCAGAGGGCCGTTTCTCAGATATGGCAGTTTTAAATGATCACTAAATATGTAGCAACTTTACCTCCCACAAAGCTGAGAAGCTGCTCTCTATACTTCATTTCAATCATTACAGTTACGCTGCATAATGTGGTCACCTTTAATATTGTTAGTAAGACTAATTCAAGCTTTGAGAATACACAGTGAAAACAACCTCAAAAAGACTTACTTTGATCTAAGATTTTTTTCTAAAAGATAATAGTCAAATAAAAGCAAAATCAAAATAAACATAACCATTTAAGCCTCATGTGGTTACTATTAAACGCCGTGTACCTTCAGTGGTGGCTGGACCCCTCTGCTTGAGCAGATGTGTGGAATAGTCCTTCTGGAAGGTCCTGGCGTTGCGGAGCTCTCGGCAGCGGGTGAGGAAGGCCTGCTCTTCTTTCTGGGTGTGTGCGGCCAGCACCTGTTTGGTCAGTCCCAACCGCTTGTAGGCTTCCTTCTCCTGGCTGGGCGGAGACACCACGCTGAGAGGCAGAGCTAGGGGTGCAGGGCTCTCTGCCACGTCCTCGATAATCTCTGTACAATGAATCGGTGCCATAAGCGTCAGTCAACCTGAACGAATACACTCAATAATATGCTATTCCGGGTATGTTCAACATCACTTCTATGAAAGAACGGACACAGACACTCACCAGACTCTGGCTGAGGCTTCTTGTCTCCCACGTGCACGATGGTGCTACTGTAGCTGCACTGTGAGGTGATGGATACCACACTCTCAGCCTTGCTGGGCAGGGTGAGGGGTGCCAGGGGGCTTCCCACCACCGCAGCTGCCCCAGATGGAGGCTTCTTTGGTGCTTTCATGTTTGACAGGCCTGGTTGGGCATCTAGCATCAAAGAGTCTGGATGGGGAGAGAGAAATCTTCTGTTAGCTCCAAGCCATAGATGACTACAGTCTAATTCCTATCAGTAAAGCTGGTGAACCAAAGTAAATGCAGGCAACAATGCGAATGAGCAACACATGTTGTTTAAGTGGTTCTTGGCAGAATTTGGACTCCGTATTAAGAGAGTGGATCTGATATCAGATGGTGTGTGACACATGTGTGTATATGTGCAGAGATGCATGATGTGTACATGCCTGGGTTTGTATCTTCAGGCACTTGCATGTCATCCTCTGAGCCCTTCTTGTCCTCATCTGAGTTGGAGGAGGTGGTGTTGGAGGAGAACTGGTACTTCCTCTTCACTGTGATGGGTATTTACAACTCTCCAGGTACCTGAGAAACAGACACTGATTTAATCAGACAGTGCACGCTTCACACATGTGATCTTTTAGCCAACATCGTTCATGAACACAAACACCAACCCTTACCTGATGACACTGTCAAGGCAGCTAATCTGCTGGTAGGAGTGGACAGTGTGGTTTTTGCAGGCAAAGTCCTCAATGCTGGCTGCAGTACTGTCTCTGACCTGATGGGGGGGCACAGAGTCCTTCTGGCGCACTGCAGGACTCCTCTGACCTGCTGCTGCTGAAGAGGAAGGGATGAGAACATGTCAAAACACAGGCAGGCAGATCGAGCTGAACACATATCAATTAAATCGGTTTCTTGTGATAATGTACAGCAGTTTTTGTTGTTGTTTTGTTTTATGAACCTGATACACTTAAAATAATTTATTATTAATAAATTTTTAAAGAAAGAAATGACAGCACACAGATCTATCTTTCTTTGAAATGTTTTTGGGGTCCACGTTTTTAGACTTTCTGATGCTGTCTTAAAGTCAGGTGACAATTTTAAGAGAGTTTGTTATAGTCCTTGAGGGAATTGTGCATGAAAAACACGATTTTCTACCAATGTTGTAGCTCACATTTTATTTACACATGTGTATCTGTGTGTTTATGAATAGTTGCATCCCTGAAAGGCCCCCTTGCGTAGATTAAATGTGGTCCCTGTAATTAACTTTGAGCCAAAGCAACAATAGAATGGAAGCCTGTTTGGAAATATTAAACTGAACTCACTGTCAGTGGGCTTCTTCTGCTCAGACTTGGATGGCAATGGTGATGGGGGAGGGGAGCGCAGGCAGACCTGGGAGTCCTGGTTCTTCAGCATGTGGACCCCTTTACAAATCTCCTGGAACGTCCTGGGAGGCTTGGCCTTGCCTGTCTCCTCCACCGTCTTCCCCGTCGTGGCGTTCCCATTGCTCTCACTGGACGAGCAGATGCTCACTTGCTGCTCGTGGGAACCATTGCTGCCATGGCTACCATAACCGCTGGAGCCCATGTTGTGGATCGGCTGAAGAGAGAAAAGGTTGTTACAGAAACTGACAAATGCATGTATGAACGTGTGTATTTAAGCAGGGGTCTAGTGTGTGCGTGTGTACGTACTTGGAGTAGCAGCCTATGGATCTGTTCACTAATTTCTTGTATGTCCGAGTCCATGATCTTCCCTCCATGGAAAGCAGGTGCTGCAAAAACATCTTCATTCACAGGACCCCTGAAAAACACACACACACACACCACTGTCATCTAGCATGCTCTGTGTGAAATATAACATACCACTACTGATGATACAAAAACCTTAAAAAGTTAAAAGGACTAAAAAGTCCTACTTCTTTATGACACCGGTTGCTGTTAAGTGAACTGCAGACAGCTTCATGTTGCTCGTGCTCGCACCCCGCTGTCATTGGTGGAGGCCGGCCATTTGTTGACATAAGTGTACTCCATATCTAAGCTAACGTTTTCTAGTTTTGCACAGTTTGCACTGTAGGGGAGCTGAAGAGAGGCAAGGCACTTGGGAGAGCGCACTAACACCACATCATTTGGATTGTCCTTTGCATAGACGTCAGTCCACAGGCTGTTACGGGCAAACGAGATGGTCCGGGAAGTTCTAATTTTTCATTCCGCTACATTCTATTCACACATTGGCAATTCAAAGTGTTTAATATAGTAAACTGTTTCACATAGTACCTTTAACTAAAACAACACATTGGGTATACTCACATGCGGACTTTATGCCTGCCAATGACAAAGGAGACCTTGCGGCTCCACGGGTTGACAAAGCTGGACCAACTGGTGTCGATGGTGATGTACTCGCCGTTTCTTGTACAGAAACGGGTCGAGGAGTGATCGAACGGCTGACCAGCATATTGCAGAACTGTTGGCAACAGAACGTGGAGTGTGTGTGAGAGACAGAAAACTGAGCAACATGAAGGGTTTTAATGCACCCGTTTTAATGCATAATTATTCCATTTCTTCTTAGCTGGTGGACATTTATTAAAACCTGATGTAGTCACAGAACTTTTGTCAAAGCATCTTTTAACTGGTAAATAATGGGTGTGGCTACTAAAATCTGGACTCAAGTATAAACTGGGGATGCAAAAATAAAGTTTCAGCTCTTATACTGTGTCGATTGGGTAATTAAATCAAGTGTTTTAAAGCGGTTCTTACTTTTGCGATGCACACCAAGCAGTAGGGGTCGGTCACTTGGGTGCAGATTGAGTAGCACGGGGGTCCCGATCAGGTCCTGAGGGAGGTAACCCAAGAGGGGAACAGCCCTGATGTAGAAACAACAACAATGTGTTAAAGACAGTTAAAAAAACCCCACATCTACTCAAAAGTCCTGCCGTGGTTCTACAACATCTCCGGAACCTCAGATCCTCCACTTTCTGCCACCAAAATAAACTCACCTCTCATCCACATCCTGAAACACACAGTTGGGTGTGTGCGTGGTGGTGAAGATACGTTTGTCAGGAGGAATTCTGGGTGCTGTGGAGAGACGTACAAATGAATTGCTCAATAAGAAAAATGAGCAAATGGTGATCACTAAAATGTACGGTGACACACTTTTTGCCAATTGCTTTATTTTATGTTGGTACTATCCATATACACCCAGATAGGGGGAAAATAAACCGTTTATTATTTATTATTATTACCGTTGTCTATGGACAGCCCAAATGTTAAGGAGCAGGAACTATGAAAGCTTTTCATATTATGGAATGTGCGTTACATGATTCAGGGAGGAAATGTAGTAAAATGAACACTAAAAACGCACTTGAAAGCGAGTGAATGTGGGCACAGGCCTTACCTTCGTACCCAGAGTGCACCCTCTCAGCCAGCAGGAGGCAGCAGAACTGGTCCTCACCCAGCTCAGAATCCTGGACTTTCATCAGGTAAGGAGTCATACGGAAAGGATAGTACTGGAGATCCCCTTCACGTTCCTTACCACCACTGCAATACAAACAAACACACACCATTATAATACTGTTTTATAGTATTGGAGTAGAAACTAAAAAGGCCTTCAAAATCCATTTCAATTTGATTTTGTACCATTGTTTAAAAGAATGATGATTCATTACATAATTATGCCTATCCTAATATTTAACATGTAACAGTGAATTGGGGTGAAGTAGCAGGTTAGTAAGTATGGACTTTTATAGGTATGATGATCTCCTTTACAGCTGAAACCATACATTTTGAGGTAGTCCAAGTAAATAATCAGTAATGGATCTCGCACACAGACGCTGCACTTAGGGTAAACTGTAAATGTTTGTTTTTTATGAAGAGTTAATTAGCCTAGGTAGAGTTCCAAAAGCTCACAGCTGCTGACTTCCTCCCTCCTCTTAGTCCTCCTCTCTCATGCTCACCAGCCCTGTGCTGACTCAGAGCCTGTTTTGAACAGGAAACTATGGATTAGAGAAGATGCCGGCCACTGTCACTCACCTGATGCGGCAAAAGAAGGATTTCTCCTGCATGCACTCCGTGGGAGACGACTCTGAATAACACAAGGAGAAGGTGGGATGAATACATCACCAAATGCATCAGGTTGACTACTTCCAAACAACCCATCTGTTCGTCATTTATATTCCAACCCACTGTTGACAGTTATGTGAAAATACAGTAACAAATTTACCACCGATATGAGTCAACACCTCTAAGACACAGTGTCAACAATAATTGAAGATTTTAAGCCTCAAACAAGTCGGATTAACTGCAGAACTTTTGCAGCTTTGCTTTAGATGTATGCAGGTGTACCTAATAAACCTGTAACTCAGAGCCACTGAGTGCACTAACATACAAGTATGTGGCAGGTGTGCGTGAGTAAGCGCGTATTCGTTAATGTGTGATTAGGCATGTTAATGAAATATGTGTTGTGTGTACGAGCATGTGTGTGTGGGGCTGGGTCATGTGAAAGAAATAGGTGGTGTGTGTCGTGCTTCATGTGGGTTTTCCACGTGCCCTTTGTGGGTGATTTACATCTACTGTCCACGTCCAGTCCCATGTTGGCCCAGTTAAAATAAATATTTCTTTATTTCAGCGGGACACAATTTGAAAATCTGGTAATGACGATTTCCGATTTTTTTAAGTTACATAAAAACGGCTGAATTTAAGAAACATTTTCACATTAAGATGTCAGTTCGGAGACAGCTGGTACCTGCTCCGGTGCACATGCTCCATGAGGGCAGGCGATAGGGCGTGGTAAAGCTGTAGAACACGCTGACATCCTGAGGCGTCAGGAACTCCACAAACTTGGCATTGTTAAACACCTCCCGCTTGCAGTTCAAGATGGACGCCGCCTGGTCTGAGATATAAACAATCTTCCCCGTGATGAGCGAGACAGCTACAGCAAATATATCCTGCCGGTAAAAGAGGTTTGAAAAAATGTTGACAAATCAGTTATTTCTTTTCAAGATGTTTTTATGGAACTGCTGTTGAGTATGAGTATTCTAATAAAACAAGAGATTAGATTAGATAAAATAGTCAGAGATTGAACACTTTGCTCCTTCTCTCATCATCTGCTGATATCAGGATTTGAGATGTGACTTCTTAAAATTATGAATAAACAATATTTATTTATTTTATTTCAGATAACTCCCACCATTCCCATATTCTATCTAGAAACAAATATATGTTGTCATGTATATGCGTATACGGTCGTAGACTTTCAGGATGTTCGTTTGTCATTGCGAGGTGACGATCAGAGGTACTTACAGTGTTTTTGAGGGTGTATTCAGAGGTGATGCTGTTGATTTCCTCAATGGTGTAGGAGGACACATCAAACCCTGGTGGCTGACTGTCATTAACCATCAGCATCTGGTAGTATTCCTCATTGGCTGCAAAACAAAGAGAATATGGGTCAATGCGCACATCATTTCACACACAGTATGAGGTCAGTGAAGGAGGCACTTCTCTAAGCAAATTGGAGAATTCGATTCAGAATCTATGCCCCAGATTGGCCCAAATTCGTCAACATCGCTGATGTACAATAACTAAGATGTGAATAAAAGAAGCAGGTCCCACCTTTCACTTGTTTGACACACCGCAGTGCATATTTAAGCGTGTTGACCGTGCTGGACTTGCCCTTGCTCCTCTTTTCCGACGGCAAGTGCATTTTCAGCTCCTTAAGGGTCTTGAAGAGCTCCTTCTGTGTCTTAGCTTTGGCTGACTGTTCACTGCTGCAGGGAGAGCATGAGACAAATACACGTGTGTCAAAATGACGAGGTCTCACCAGTGCTGTCACACTCTGAGAAGCACAGCTTTCCAGCATAAAGAGCAGAACAGACGGAAGTAGCTACTAGTATATAAAGGGGCATGAGGGCATTGATTTTCTGTGGGTCTGACTTTGAGAACTTTCTACTGTTGCATGCAAGTAAGAACTCCCACTGCCAACACATTTTATAGATAGGTGTAATAAATATATAATCTTGTACTGTCTCAGTTTTTTCTGTCAAATTTTCAAGTGTCACAAATTGTAAGCTATACATCTTCATTTAAACCAAATTATGAAAGGTAAGAGGGAAGATGTATACCTGCAGCCGCTGGTTGAAGGGTTGTCCTGCTCAGAGCTCACCAGACTGAAGGCGTTGGAGCTGCTTGGCGGCGACGGGCTGTGAGAGTTTGAGCTGTAACCACAACAACAACTCTTGTTTTTGAAGATGCACAGAAAGACGACAAAACAGAGCTTTGTTGGAGCGCCAAAACAAAAGCTAAGACTAAACATCTTAAGTAAGTCAAGGACTTGGTGTTAGATAGCAGTGGTTCTCAAACCTTTTCACATAAAGAACCCCTAAACAGACACAAATCAGAGCACGGAACCCCATTTGCTGCCCTGCTTCCCATTGTGATGTGTGTTTTGCTATGTTTCTTGTATTGTTTCATATGTTATGTCTCATATGTACTCAGAATGTCACACACAAGTACCTAATGAAATCCTGCTTATAAATCGTTTGAAGCCTCTCATTTAAAGGTTAACATAGCATACATTTGAACTGTAGGTCTAATGGGAGCAATAAATCACAAACAAATCGGACAAAGTGGATGTTCCACTGAGGCAGCGAAGGAGGATACTATACAACATCCAATCAAAATCAGCCTCTGTAAAAGGAGACCAGAGGACAGAGTGAAGGGAAGCAGAATACAGTTGTCAGCTAATGGAGGGCTTATCACAGGGGGTCATGCCCAGTGAGTTCATTGAGTCAGAACATCTAAAAATGACTCCACTGATCACAATAGCTAAAGACAACAGGAGAATACAAAGCCAGACAATAACTCACAAGTTCTAAAATCTGAAAATATCCACTGAGCAGCAGACAAGCCCGTCATGTGTGTGTCAGACACATCTGAGAGCTAAGGAGGAAAAGGGCTTAGTAGTATAAGCCAAACATTTTATAAAAGCATTCGGTCACTCCATTTTAATCAAGCAGCACAAAGAGTTTGAAGCCTTCAAACTGAATGGTGGTCCATGTCTTCCTTTTGAAATTCAAAATATGTGCCATTGTGTTTGAAGTTCCTCAATTATGTGTTTAAGTCCTGAACTGATTAGTCATCAAGAAAGAAAGAATTTCTCAATAACTAAGCATTGTACAGCAGGGTTTGCACAGGTCAACTCTGGCAATGTTTATGCAGCATAAAGTACAAATAAATATGGAAGTATACCTACAATCTAATGCAATCCTATACAAAAGCCCTCACCTCTTGTTGCTCCCTGAAGACTCCATGAGAGCGGAGTCCTTGCCATTGCCATTTGAGCTGCCCACAGATTCATTGCCATGGGACTCATTGCCGTGCGACTCGTTACCGTGGGATTCTGTCCCGCTCCCACTCGAGCCGCTGCCACCCATCTCAACATCCTCGTGTAAGGGTTGGCGCGGCCGCTTCCTGTCGTCGTGCGGGGACCGCGGCGAGGCCGGGTGCTCGTGGCCGCTGTCGCTCCCCTCGGAGGCCAATCCTAACTCTCCTTCCAGTTCGACCCCATCCCGCCCGTCACAACCCTTGTTGTAAGTGGCCATGCCGAGAAGTTGGCTAATGGAGCCGCAGTGAGAGCGCTCCTCTTCTTCCACCTGAAAACCGACCCTTCCAAGGTTCCGTTCGCGCCCGTCCAGGGCTGAGTACAGGTAGTGCTTTGGATCACTGTCCTCAGACATGGGATGGGCCAAAGGGCGAAAGATGGGCGATTAAGTTACCTTCCATAAGGTAATGCCATTAAGTGCATGGCACTGGGATGTAAATGGAGTTGATGCCTCAGCAGTGGGGATGCAGACTAGAGGAAAATAAAACACAGGTGAAATCACTCAAATTAACCTTTTACAGCACAGCGCACTTTTATAGATATTAGATCAATAGTTAAGAAACAGTCCTAAAATAAGAAGCAATCAATGAGGATTAGAAGAAGGCATTCATCAAAAATACCGCAGTACAGTACTTTGGTAAATGGACTGCATTTAGTGCATTTCTACCTTAAAGGAAAAAGCGTACACACACACACACACACACACACACACCACAACCACCAACCCTGGAATTAAAGGACGACCCACTCAACCTCCTGAAACCGCCACGGCGGCCCTTTTGATCTGATCAGCCAGTGTTTTTTAAAAGTCAATGATAAAGAAAAGGGCAAAGCAGCACAGATAAAGTGATTGTGTTGCGTACACACACACACACACACACACACACACACACACACAATAAGGCTGCAGCCATCCATCCTTCAAAAGGTCTGCACAGTAAATAGGCCGTTGTTTGCCCTTTACGGGTGGACTTAAACCCCAGACCAGTGTGATCCAGTTCAATTTTTCAAAAGAGCTTTTTCACATGAAAGGTGAGTCCTCCAAGATGAAAACACATCACAAACAAAACCCTTCACCTTGCATGAACCGTCAGTACGGATTCAGATATTAGACAGACAAAATGCTTTGAAATAATTTCTAATATTCACGATGTCTCCTCTCCTCCCAATGGCATGACCCTTCATAAAGTAACTAATAAACAAGTAGGAGAAAAAGCTGACAACTAGTCTCCATCACAAATAACAGAATTATCATTAATGCCAAAGATATGGATCCTACAAAAAACAAGTGACAAACAGATGTGTTGATGCATCGTCCATGTTCACTTAAGCCCAAATCAAATGAATGTAGCATTATGTAACATAGTACTGTGTCCCTGAATTGACTAAAAATATAAAAAAGACCACAGTCCCTGAGACAACATTTACCTAGTATCGTATCATCATTTCAGTAATAGCACAAGTTAATTCAAGCAGCCACATTGTGAAAACAGGCTGAATTTCATTTGCTTCACTTGAAACAATCAGGGGTGTAAAAATCATTTTTGTTCTCGAAAAGAAACAAGATAAAAACTACAAGAGCAACAGCTTTCATCAGCTCTGCAGCCGCCTCCTCCTCCTCCTCCTCCTCCTCCCACACCCAACAGGAGAACAGCAGTAGTTGGAGTTATTTATGTCTGCTAAAGCCATAATAGGAAATACTGGCAACAGGTACTAAAACTAAATATTTCACCGTTTTCCTGCTATCCAAGATCAGGTTGCTGCTATTTATGTAAGCGAACAAATTCAACAGCTTGTCTATTCTTCACTCTTTATATAAGCAGTTTTACATAACTCCTCAAAGTTTCAGAGAGAAGATTTTTCATGTTTTAAAGGTCTACAAAAATCTAGCAGACTTTCCATCCACCCACACATCCACTGCCAACTTAGGAAATGACCCACTCCCAGTTAGAATGAGGCAGTAGCCAAGCCGCAGAGGGGATTTTTAATTGGCTGCTGCAAATGACCAATCAGGAGAGAGCAAGGAGTGACAGCAAGTTAGAATGATGTCAGCCAATCATGGGGAAGTTAGGGTTGATCTCAGGTTGGGATACAGAACCATAGGTGAATTGTTTCATTTTGCTGAGGGGGGAAAAAGATCAAAACTACAAGAGTAGCATGTTAAAGCTCATGACACAAAATCATAAAATTAGACTGTTAATAATGTATAAGCCAGCAAGTTATTTATTACTACACAGTCAGTTTGCTGGAAACAGTATGCAGCGGGTATTAAGAGCTTAAACAGCCTACAATAAATGCTACAAGACATTTTAAAACTAGGTTAAACTATGTAATGGTTGCCAAACACAAAATATACCAGGGTTTGTAGTATAAAGAGCACTCTCATAGTTGTAAAACAAATGAAAATATTAAACACTCTGTACTACACAACTGCCATGACATTGGTTTTGCCTGTGACAGTTATCAATCAAAATCCCAATCACCTTAAGCAAATCTGAACAATTTCTGAATTACAACTTCCTCCCCGAATGTTGGAAACACTTGAGATGCACGCACACATGCATGTAGCTCTCATAACATAGCAGAGAAGCGCGACATCATGAAACAGAACTCCCTCCGTTTCCAGTTCAGCCTGTTTCAGCCAGAGAATTAATAGACCCAACACACTAGCACAGATCTCAGGCATTATACAACGCTGCTCCAGTCACATGGATGTGGATAGTGCAGCACAAATCAGTGGAAGCCTTGTTTCATAAAACCACATGCTTTCACTTCTATCCAACCGCACTATTTTTGAAGTGCATTCTTTAATGAAATGTGAGGCAGAGAAGACGTGAGCATAGTTAAAGACAGAATTTAAAGGGCTGAACATGGGACACAAACTCTTGCTAGTCATTTACACAATCTACTTGACCACGGGGCAAAACAGGTCAGTGTTGTTTGAAAAGGACAGGGTCTCTGCAAAGGTACTGTACAAGTTCTGGTTTAGTTAATGAATAATTAGTTTTGTAGTATGTGAAGACCTACTCTACCTGTGGTTATCTAATAAAGGTCTAACATCAATAAGCTGACCATATTGAATATGATTATCATGTTGACCTAATATTCATAGTGTGGCAGGGACAAAGTGGTGTATAGACAGTAGACCTTTTATAAGGGCCTTGAATAGTACAGTAAACTAGAATTCTAATCTATTTATTTTTAAACAACGTCTGCCCATTTACATTTGACATGAATCTACCCAATATATTGAAAGAGACCCGTTTTCTCAGGTAATTTATGTGAAAATAAGGCAATTCAATGTTGCCAATGCTTTCGGAGTCCTATCAACTGACACTGAAAACTGGCTGACAACTCATTTTAAAGGTTTATTTTGTTATTATTATGTTTATACATAGACAAGCTTACACTAAACAAAGGCTAAATTAAAGAAAATACGATTTAAACGTGTTTGTAAAGGTTAACAAACATCCCTCCCCCCATCTAACTCCCATTGACCTGCTATTCAAAATCCACACACACGTTGACCTGCAATCCACTGCACGGTACACTGACACAGTTATGTAAAAGTAACAATATCGTTGAAACCCCAAATCAAAACAGCAGCCGCGTAGCAGCGGATGGACTATTTCATAAAACCAGACTTTCCCCCTTCTTTACGAAGAAACAGAAGACATCGGACCGGCTTTTTTAGGATATTAAATTAGAATAAGTAGAGCAATCTGAATTGTTGCGCATGCGCACATCGGATTTGTTATGCAACTTATTTTTTGTGCTAGTTATTCTTTCTTACAACTAAAAGGTGAAAATTAAGGAAACTAACCTGTGCTGCCGTAATAAAAATCGCTTCTCCGGACGTCCTTAGTGTGAAGTAAAAGCAGAACCGACCAGTGAATAAAACATTCAGTTAAAACATCCAGTGTTCCTCAATGGGAGACGGGACTTAGACAGGTTGACACAGTAGCCAGCAGTTCCTCTCCGGCTCTGGCCCACCAGCGAATCAGCGAGCACGGCTCGCGACCTCAATTCAGACTCCGCCCTTAGTTTTCACAATTGGCTGGAAGCTACGGGTTTCCATGGAGAACGTGACGGAGATGGAATGGCGGGTGGTCATTGGTGTAGAGCGCTGTCCGTCGTTTTATATAAACAAGTCAACCCCTGCACGTGGAATCCCATGTTGTGTGTTTCGTGCAGCATGAGTCTGGGGCGGTGAACTGACTGGTTACGACTACGCCGGGGCCAAAACAGCGTAACGTCGGGTGTTGAAATTACATAAATGCAAAATTCCGTCGCGAAAACAACCAGTAAACGGTTAACCTACACCAATTATCACACACGAATACTTGAATTTGCTTCTGCTTTAAGTAGCACGAAATTGCTTGTAGGATAGCCTATTGAAAATAAAATGTCGTAATTGCTGTGAGTTAGGCGAGGTGTTTCATAACGCAAGTTATTGCGCTTGTAGCAGCAAAGCTACACTTAGCAACCTTAAAAACACGCCGATTTAACTTTTAAATATGTATGTTGAGGAGAACAGTGGGAAGTTCGTGGAGCCGAAAGTACGAAGTCTTTGGTATAGACCAGAGACTGTAGCCGATATAAAAAGGTTTTCCATATTTCTCTGCGTCACGTCTGTTATTGCACTGCAGGGGTGCTGCCTTTCGTCAAGAAAGCCCTATTTCTGCCAACATTATAGAGAGTTATTCGTTATTTTAGAGAGATTTTTTCATAAATGTAGCCAAGTAATTGAACACACTGCTGCTATAAAGTTAAAAGGCTATAGCATCTGATATATAGCTTAAGCAATTACTTGAAAAAAACGAAATGCAAGGGTCTAATCTCCCTACCTTTTTAGCTTGCACCATCAGCTCTGTGTTCAACAGCCTGCTAATGGATGGACTCTGCTTTGTGCCAAGCTTGCTCATTGCAGTTTGTCATGAATGGCTGAGACCGGAGAGCACACATTATTTTCACATACTGGCATGGTAGCCACAACACCATATTTTCTCTTTTCAAGCCAAGAGCCTCGAAAGCAGCTCAGTGCAGAAATCTGGTCTCAGGCTCTCTGAGTACCATATGTGACAGTTTTACGCGGCAACCCCCACTGCTGAGGTGGCACTCTAGTCAACAACACACCCTGCAGTCTGCTTCATGATGCTCAGTGTCCATCCATGCACTCACCAGAACATGTGAGAACCAAGTCTTTCACATCCCCCGTCTCTTAACTGGTTTGTATGAAATCACACTGAGAGCGTAATACTGTGTGAGGCTCTTTTGTTGGCTTTCCCTTGCTTGGCACATTTCCTTTGTGCTTTCCAACATTTCCCAGGAAGTGTAGGTGGAGAGATTTACCACAGCTGTGTGTGGATCTGGCTGAATGATGCATGGATCACTCTTCTTCTTCTTCTTGTAAGATTCCGGCAGTGTAGACGCTTATGAGCGTATTACTGCCATGGATCACTCCCATCGCCATCCTCTCCTTCATGCCACACACAAATGAGCACATATAATTTGCAGGTGGTGGCAGCAGACTGGAAGATCCTACAGGTGTGTAGAATCCCCTCAACAAAACTGTTTCACGATGTTTGTGGTTTTATCTGTAAAGCCCAGGAGCTCAGAGTGGTGGTCATGACTATCCTATCCAGATATCCTCTAAGTTTAAAGGTTATCACCACATATGTTACTGTGCCTGCACTAAGCTGACTTTTTCTGATGTTTCATTGTTGAGCTAAGTTGAAGGGTAAGTCACTGGATAATATACTGTTTATATTTCCTTTTACTGAAGTGTCAGAGTTGAGAGGTCGGGTGGGATTCAGATCTGCACCTTTGAACAGACTGGACTGACCTGGCTGAATTCCTTTGCATTGGTCAGCATTAAAGGTTCAGTGTGTAAGAATTGCAAGATTTTGGCCACCTGTAAAATTCGTACTTCAATAAGGGGCAGTATATCACCAGAAAAACAGCTAACTGCTGCAAACTGTAAGTGCCGTTAGCTCAGTTACAGTGGGGAGAACAAGTATTTGATACACTGCTGATTTTGCAGGTTTTCCTACTTACAAAGCATGTAGAGGTCTATAATTTTTATCATAGGTAAACTTCAACTGTGAGAGACGGAATCTAAAACAAAAATCCAGAAAATCACATTGTATGATTTTTAAAGAATTAATTTGCATTTTATTGCATGACATAAGTATGTGATACAACAGAAAAGCAGAACTTAATATTTGGTACAGAAACCTTTGTATGGAATTACAGAGATTATACGTTTCCTGTAGTTCTTGACCAGGTTTGCACACAGTGCAGCAGGGATTTTGGCCCACTCCTCCATACAGACCATTTCCAGATCCTTCAGGTTTCGGGGCTGTTGCTGGGCAATACGGACTTTCAGCTCCCTCCAAAGATTTTCTATTGGGTTCAGGTCTGGAGACTGACAAGGCCCTGCCGTTAGCTCAGTTAGCTATGGCCCTATTCGCTGACTCTACCCAGACTGGGAGCTCGGAGCACCAGGGGAGTGTTGGTGTTTTTCACACCTCTAGCATGTTGATGTTTACACCTCTAGCAGAGGAGTTTTGGACTGCTGAGACAAGGAGGTTTTTAGGCCTGTGATAAGGGGGAACAAGTGAGGAATGCTGGTGGGGAGCGGCGCCAGAATGGGCACCAACTGGAGCCGGGCTCAGCAAAGTCCCAGTGAACACAGCCTCAGATACAGGCGGAGGCCAGTTTGACGACAGAGAATACAGGTGATTTACGGTGTCTTTGAACAGGACTCTGAGAAAAGAATTTGTGCTGAGAAGCAATGTATCTTTAAATTCAGAGATTTGTGAATGGAGTTTGGTGTGATGTTCTCTGCTTATAGCATGCTAACTTTAGTTGATTTCTGTGCAACACAATAGCCAACATGGACTTCTTCGACATAAAGTCAGAACTTTTACTTCACTCTGTTGATAATGTTTTAAAATAAAATTCTGGCTATATCTTACACATTGCACCTTTAAAATATATATATATATATATATAGATCAAAAGGGTGCTTCTACTAAATACTGAGCAAAGGGTCTGAATACTTATGACCATGTGATATTTCAGTTTTTCTTTTTTAATAAATTTGCAAAAATTTCTACATTTCTGTTTTTTTCTGTCAAGATGGGGTGCTGAGTGTACATTACTGAGAAATAAAATGAACTTTTTTGATTTTTGGAAAATGGCTGCAATGAAACAAAGAGTGAAAAATTTAAAGGGGTCTGAATACTTTCCGTACCCACTGTACATCATAAACTGATTAACAGATAGATCCATAAAAATGATATATTCTAGACTCCTAAAACATGTTTAATGAAATGTATTAATATACTATATGTTTTTGAGGTTGTGAACAACATTTACATAAAATAGCAAACTATTTGCTTGCAAATTGTGAAAAGTGTGCATACAGTGGTGGAAGAAGTATTCAGATCCTTTACTTAAGTAAAAAGTACTAGTGAAACAATCAAAAAAAATCCCCAATACAAGTAAAAGTCTTTCACTCAAAACCCTACAGAAATATTATCAGAAATATACTTAAAGAATCAAAAGTAATAGTAGAAAAAATACCCTGGAACTGATTTACTGTATCAGTATATATGACATAATTAGATTGTTAATACTAAAGCATCAATGCAAGTTGCATAGGTGTCATTTACACTGGGGACGCTGGGTCCCCACCACTTTTTGAAAGGGCTGATTTTGTCCCCATCACTCTCTAAAAGCATCTGTTAAAAATGTTCTGAAAATTACCTTGCACCAAAAAATGCTAACTAACAAATAAAAATGCTTTAAGAAAAGTTTATTTGCACAATAAGAAAACATGCAATGCAATTTAAATATAGAAGAAACAGTGCTTTGTCCAAAAAAGTAACTTAAGCTTAAAAAACAAGCAGCTTTTCCCCTTTATGTAAATAAAGACATTTCCACCATAAATTGGAAAATGTCTCCAGAATGCAGGAAATTAAGTGTTTAAAGCTCCAATTTTCTGCGGGAGGACCCCCAGGCCCCCCTTTCATATATTTCAGCATTTCATATTTCCTCAAAATAGTTTTAAAAATCTTCTCCTCTTGTTCTGGTGCATTCTCATGTCTCTAGATCCTACAGTAACATAACCCCCCTAATCTGAGTCCTTACGTCCCCACCACTTTTCAACACAAAGCGACACCCTTTTTTTTTTTTTTTTTTTTTTTTTTTTTTTTTTTTTTTGCAAGTAGCAGTAACTACTGATGTGAGATAAATGTAGTGGGTAAAAGTACAGTATTTCCCTCTGAAATGCATGTAGTGGAGTAAGAAAATGGAAATACTCCAGTAAAATACAAGCACCTCAAAACTGTACTTTCTACCACTGTGTGTTTTTTAATCATTCAGTCTCATACTTTTGAATAATGAACCAAGGGTCACGGCACTGATGTTGTGGTACTGCAGTATCTCCCACCACCTTGTGTTCTTTTGTTTCCCCCTTCCCTGTGTTTTCTGCAAAGACTGTGTTCTGTCTGTTCTCCCGGTCTGTCTCTGTGTTGTCTGTGTTTATCTGGGCGTGGCTACACTCTCTGGCTACTGCTGCCAAGCTCCACTTACACACCTGATCGTCATTCCACTAATCAAGCTCCTGCAGTTTATCAACCCCAGTCCTCCTCACCATTTGTCGCCAGATTGTCAATTAACCACATGTGGATAATTTTTCCTCTGGAGACCCTGATGAACGCCACGCTCTGCTCACACCCTGCCTGGACAAACCCTCCTCCGTACTCTCGCCGCTCTGCCCTGCTGAAACATATCACTTGGCCTTCTGTTGCACATTTCATTACAATCTTTTGTTACTCCTTTGAGCTGTACCGAGTCTGCCTTTGAGTCCAAGAGTTTTCACATTATAATAATAGATACTTGAACATGGATCTTTCAGTTGAAGGATGTTAGTTTTTGTGACAAACATGAGGCTGAAACTAAAAATAGGAATTTATAGAAGTCCAACATTTCAAGTTCAGTTACATTCAGGTCCTGAACTGCACTGCATCGTTCCAGTCGCTAAACACTGGATTTTTGAGCTTACTTTTGAAGTCATTTTTGCAGCTTTAATTTCCACAATCCTTTGTAGGGTCTATTTCTTGGCCCCGGTATACATATTAGTGTCAACACTGTTCTGCGTTTAGGTGTAACCGTGTAGGTCGGATCCTGTTCATGTAGAAAGTCCACCTTTTTAAAACGAGCATGTCATGTATGAACCCTCTGAAAGTAGGCCAGCATCAAATATGTGTAAGCAACGGTGAAGGGGGGTGGAAGACTGACACAGTGCACAGCTACAGTCGTATGCAAAAGTTAGGCACCTCTGAATATTTCCAGGATTTTCATTTATAAATAATTTAATTTTGAACTATCAAATAACTGAAAGATTCATTAGATGAACAGAAAATGTGCAATATGCATCAAAATGAAATTAGACCGGTGCATACATTTGGGCACCCTTGTCATTTTGTTGATTTGAATACCTGTAACTACCTAGCACTGATTAATTGAAACACACAACTGGTTTGGTGAGCTCATTAAGCCTTGAACTTCATAGACAGGTGCATCCAATCATGAGAAAAGGTATTTAGTTCTCTTTGACTCTCCTCTGAAGAGTGGCAACATGGGGGCCTCTAAACAACGCTCAAATGACCTGAAAACAAAGATTGTTCAACATTATGGTTTAGGGGAAGGCTACAAAAAGCTATCGCAGAGATTTAAGCCGTCAGTGTCCACTGTGAGGAACATAGTGAGGAAATAGAAGACCACAGGCACAGTTCTTGTTAAGGCCAGAAGTGGCAGGCCAAGTAACATTTTGGAGAGGCAAAGGCAAAGGATGGTGAGAACGGTCAAACAGCCCACAAACCACCTCCAAAGACCTACAACATCATCACATGGTGTCACTGTGCATCGTTCAACATTCAGCACGTTGCACAATGAGAAGCTGTACGGGAGGGTGATGCGGAAGAAGCCTTTTCTGCACACACGCCACACACAGTCGCTTGAGGTATGCAAACGCACATTTGGACAAGCCAGCTTCATTTTGGAAGAAGGTCCTGTGGACTGATGAAACAAAGATGAAGCTATATGGTCATAACAAGGGGCGTTATGCATGGTGGCAAACGAAGACAGCGTTCAAAGACAAACACTTGCTACCCACAGTAATATTTGGTGGAGGTTCAGTCATGCTGTGTGGCCAGTGCCGGTACTGGGAGTCTTGTAAAAGTTGAGGGTCGCATGGCTTCCACTCAATATCAGCAGATACTTGAGAATAATGTAGAGGAATCAGTCACAAAGTTGAAATTACGCCGGGGGTTGGATATTTCTACAAGACAACGACCCAAAACACTACTCATAATCTACATTACAGGCTATAGGAAGCATCTAGAGGCCGTTATTTCTGCTAAAGGAGGCTAAACTAAATATTGATGTGATATTTCTGTTGGGGGGGCCCAAATTTATGCATCTGTCTACTTTTGTTTTGCTGCATATTGCACATTTTCTGTTTATCCAACAAAGCTAATTTCACTACTGAAATATTACTGTCTTTCAGTTATTTGATGGCTCAAAATTGTCAGGGGTGCCTAAACATTTGCATATGACTGTAGTTAACTGCTTAGTGCTTGACCACCGTGTGTGTGTGTGTGTGTGTGTGTGTGTGTGTGTGGGATGCAGCCATCATTTGTATTCATGACTGAGAAAGTGAGGAAAACATCAGCCACCTACAGTATCTGACACAGTGATGTCAGGGGACAAAAGGATTGTGGATGGAGCATCAGGGAAGGAAATGATCACACTGTAATTGAACATAATACAGTTCACTATATTGAACTGCAATCCTTCGTAATACAGTTCAATGCTACTGTACAATCTTACGGTATTATACAGTATGTTTTCTTTAAGTCAGACTTGGGTCTGACTGTTTTGCTTGAGCCCATCCATAGTTCATCTGAGCAAAATCATGTTGCATCAAGTCCCACCAACTGATTTAGCACATAGTAAACAAAGAAAATTTAAATATTAAAATGATTATAGCTGTGATTTTATTTTTAAGAGAGGAAAGAATAATAGGAAGAGGAAGAACTTAAGAAGACTGTTTTCACCCAGACTCTGACCCTGCCAGCACTGAAGTGGACAGAGTACTATACTACCACGTGCTGCTTTCCTCCTGTAATCCATCCTGCTCCTGTGGGTTACTTAACAAGGCAGTTGTGATCTTATCAAAGCCAGCGTTACCTTGTTATGTCATTTGGTGTTGAAATTACATTGACAGTTTTTTCTTTTTTTCCCCTGAAATGACCTGACATTGGCCTTTAAAAACTACAAGCAAGAGTCTAATATATCCCTCTCTCTTGCTTCCATCATCAGGTAGCCTATGGTTCTTGAGGAGGATGAGTATGAGCCCCTGTACTTGTCTTCACTTGTTCTGTTATCAGGATGAGAGTTTACATCCTCTTCCTACTCCAGATTGAGATCTTTGTTCGACAGTTTGTTAAGATGGATTGGATTCTGCTTTGTGCCAAGCTTGCTCATTGCAGTTTGTCATGAGACCGACCGCAGAGTCAAAATTACTGCCTAATATTACGTTACCACTGCTTAACTGCATGCCCCAAGCATGTGTGATGCATGATGCAAGTGTGTTTGGTTGCATAAATAACGTTGGCTATAGCATACACCCCTTTATCTGCCACAGGTTGTCTTCTCTACTTTCTCTGGCTGCCTCCATCTGCTGAACGTTCAAATACTCCAGTTCATGACAACAAAATCAAAAAAAGCCTCATACATTTCAAAATGATTGAATGCAGGTAGCCATTGTCAGTCATATAACCAAAGACTGACAATTGCCACCCACTTTCATGATTTTGAAATATGAGGACAGGTTTGTTGGCCAACCTTGTTTATTTAGGTTACATTAACCACAGCAGTGATTTGGAACTGCAATAGACTGCACTTTATTACAATCAGCAAAGATGTAACAATGGTTGAAAAGTCTGAAATACAGTCTTAAAAAATACCAGACATTTGCCTTTAATCATGTTAGTAACATGATGTTTTGCCAGAAGATAAGCCATTATAACACTGGTTTGATTTGCTTTTATTTTCGTCTTGTGTGAGTCATTGTGAATCCCTGACCACCTGTGTGTGGGATGCAGCATGAGGGAAATATTAGCCACCTGTTTCATACAGTGATGTCAGGGGACCAAAGGATGGCTTGCTGTTAGTAATTGTTTCTCCAGTTTATGTGATCTATTGATACCAATGATGGCATAAGAGATTGTGCTGAGATAAATTCAGATGTTGTCCCTTGTTTATATGTGCAACTGTGTCTGCACTCCTTATGAGCAACCCTTCCAGATTACTGAATTATGTAACCGCAGTGAACCGCCACACACGAACACATACAGCAGATGATTCACACCACAGAGCAATGATTGTGGCTTCAAGTAAAAAGAGAGCCAATAAATGATGACAGCGGAAGGTAGAGACTTTGTTAACATTCCCCACAGAGCGAAAAGAAATGCAGTTCCTGAGTCATACAAACAGCAATAAAAAAAAAAAAAGCAATTTTGTGCACTTCAGAGCCCTCACACAAAGGAGCTTCATGATGAGGAGGGTGGCATTTGCAGAGATCCCCTTAATATCCTTTAATTCTAGTGTTGAGATAGGTCACCAGAGGCAATGCTGACACACATGCAAGTGTGGAAACACGCACAGGCTTCAGTTGTCATAAACAACCAGAACCGTAAGACGACCAGAGCAATTTGCATTTCTAAAATCAGTGCACACTGTGCATAGGCAAGGATTCTAAAGGGTAAAGTTTTACATCAAGGCACTGAGGTCTATTTCATGGGACACATTTTGACATGTTACTGTTGGAAAAGCTCAGGTGTAAATAATAAAATGAACTAGGTAGAAGCCAAAAACCTGCCTTTAAAGTGACTCCTTGCGGTAGGGTCTGGTGGCTTGCAGAGTAATGGTGGTTTATTTACTAGAGCTTTTTTCAGCTGCTAGTGAGTTCCTGTTTTCATCTTTTAAGTGTGTCAGGTTGCGAAACAATATTCTATGCCCTTGCTCAGACCTTTCTTCGCATAAAGTCTGCAGTATATTCTCACTTGTTTAGTATTATGCGCCCCCTAACTGAGCCAATCAGAGGCAGTGTGACCTGATTTAGCAGAGAAGATACTGAAGGGAAGGTCAGTGTGTGCAGATACAGAACCAATATTAATGCTCATTTGTGCATCTCAAGATTCTGAGACTAAAAGCATAGTTCCCTTGAGTCAAGATTTTGTCATTTGTGCATGTTATCTTAGAGTACAGCATAAGTATCTATATGAATACCTTCTATTTGGCAATGAAGGTACTTTCTTTTTCTATTTTCACTTGCACATAAAGCAGGCAAAAATAGTAATTTGAGTTTATTTCTGGTCTACAATCGATAAGTATTCATCAAAGCTCTAAAAACAGAAAAATCCATGCTGCCCTGAGTGGGTGCAGTCACACAACCCACATCTAGAAAAAGGAAACAGACAGGCGGAAATGCAGCGCGGTGGAAAACAACTTTAATAAAACTCCTATGACAACAAAAACCAGCAAAACAATAAAAGCCTGTACATTTGACAATATCCAGTGTCTGAGACTTTTGAAGGCTAGTGGTGCGAAATACAGCTGCATCACACAAACCAACAGAAAAACCATTATAGGCTTAGGCCCAGGCCTAAGGTTTTATATAATAGGATATGGTTCATATACTCGGATATTGCACGAAAATCAAACACAGATGCAGATGCTCAGGAGCACCATATGTCGAAACGAGGAAGTAGCTTTACATCGCAGTGTAATGTCCCTACCGATAAAACTACGCCCACGCATGCCCCCAACTCTGCCCACACCTGCTCATATAAAAACAAATACACTTAAAAAAAAGACAGCGGCACATATGTTCACATTCAATTCAGAAACTGATCATTAAAAACACAGTATGAATAATAAAATGACTTAACATTTGCTTTCTGTTTTGGTCCTAACATGTTAAAAAAGCATCAGTTATTCCTCATTGAGGTTATCTGTCAAGGTTGCTAGCATGAGTGGGATGGCGCTTTAGAAGGCTGACAATCCTTTTAGACTTTACGACAAGTTGACTAGTGATAACTCACAGGTGACAGACAACACTTTGTCCAATAATGCTCTTGATTTGAAAATTCGGGAAGAAATGATGCACACTGTCATTTCAAAATAAAAGAAACTAAAATAAAGTGTTTAGTTAATTAAAATGCTATTTGAAATTTCTTATTATTTCATATGTTCTGAAAACTTTCCAGTGTTCTATAGTCCAGATACAGCGAGATTCAAACAGTCGGCTGAAAGGCTCAGGGCACCTTTTTCTCTGATCATTCCTTGTCTTTCAATATTTCCCTAACACAAGTTTTCTCTGCGGACTAGTAAAGTAGTCTGGCACATAGACATCTCATGAAACGTTTTTAAATGGCTAAATAAAAAGAAAACTCATAAAAAATACAATCTTCCCACAGTTTTGAGGCACACGTTGAGGCAGTGGGAGGGAGACAGTTAAGATGCACTTCCTGTGGGCGTGGCACATTGAATTAAGACATGGGGGTCAGATGTTTGTCTTTCAGTTCCACCTTTCCCAACCCCATTTGTTATCTCCATTGTACTTATACAAGGGGTGTGTTCAAACCATGTGTCCCTTCAGAGTCCATACAAGCCGAGTTTCAACCACTCCACAACATGATTTTTGTCGTCAGCCCTTTCCGTGGGGACAGTTCATCTTTAGTGTGGGCAGAGCGGGTGCTTCAGTTCCCTTCCTTTGGCTGTGTGCTCCATCAGCTGTTGTGCCTGTGCAAAACTTGCAATGACTTTACCCACCATGATTCCACAGAAATCTCACAAGACCATGAATTTGGATTTTTCAGAGTGATGCAAGGCGAGGAGGGATACAGTGAGTAAGGGTGCTGTTTCATCAGGTTTAGGTTTACTCTGTACAGTATATGTGGGTGAATCTGCTCATGTTTGAGATATTCTGCTAGATTCCCTTCTTTAAATCAGGGTGGCTGTCACCCCGTCTCCTTGGCACACCTTTCCCCTCCTGCACACTCGAACACTCCTTCCCCGTGTCCTCTTTGCCCCTGGCCCTTGAAGGGTCTCAGCTGCTCTAGGAGCGGTTGTCTTTGGCCACATTGTGGGCCATCCAGTTGACTTTTGTTGTCCAGCTCTCTCTCAGGGCCTCGTCGAACTTCTGGCGGAACTGCTTCAGCGCCTCGTCGTCCGTTTTACCCAGAGCCAGAGAGTCCTGAGGAGGGAGGGATTGTGGGAAAGGAGCAGGATTAGTCGTGGAGGGCAGAAGGATGGAGAAGTGTTGAAGAAGTTGATGAAAAGGACACAGCTAAATTATAATAATAATAATAAAATAAAAAACGTTTGATATATAAATATACAGCTTCTCCCAAGCTGATATGTTAAGATCTATAGAAAACAGTTATGTGAACTGTTTCAGGTTTCCACATCAACACTGGTGTCAGATGCCTGATTGGCTCTAAACTAGTCGTGATGTCACAAAATCCTGCTTGTACTTCTACTGAGCACAGAGGAACTTTCCCTTTTCAGCAGATCAATGGGGAACAGCCTTCTGGTGTCAAACTCTGCACATACATCATTCTGCACAGAGAAGCTCGGTTTAAAATGGTGCCCTGGACCATGCAACTGCAACATACCAGTTTCAAATCCAGTAGACGACCTCTGTTGCATTTCATCCCTCTTCTCTTTCCCCTAATTTACTCTCCCAAAAAAACAAAACTGGAGCATACTAATCTAACCCTCGTGTTGCCTTGGAGACATGCAGCTTTCATGTGACAAATTTAGTTATATCTCGTTTAAGTGCACTTCATCATCATTAACTATAATTTCCACTTCTTCTCCCCTACATCTTCTCTTTGCAGAATTGATACCTTGTCAAAAATGAATGAAGCTGAGGAGATGCACAAAACTTCTCTGGGGAATTCAAATTAGCTGCGAAATCACAGTTTACAAGGTGTAGATTTCTATGTGAGGCATCAATTTTCTTTCACACAATTTTACATGTTTAAAAACTGCTGTGTGAGCGTATGTAATACCTTTAAGTACTGGATGTCTTTGACTGAGGTGAGCTCAGGCAGTCCAGCAGTCAGCATGAGGGCAAACAGTGTGATGAAGAGGTTCCCGTTCTTCCTCAAGATTAGATAGGCTTCCTCACAGTACTGACGGAAACTACAGAACCAACACAGACACACATACACCGTTCATTATTTCTGTCAGATACAGTACAGTTTCAACAATTGTTTGACTTCATAAATACGGTCACGACGATGGCTCTCCTTTCCATAAAAGGAGGCATCGCAAAAGAACATTGGCACTGTATAGGAGCCAGAGAAGTCTGGCTACTGGTAAATATCTGCAGATGTCTGTGCTGCATGAAGTTCAGAATGGGTGACAAACATGTCCTTTATGTTTTAGCACCCAGTGACTCACTGCATTCCGACTTTGTGTCAGCATAGGAGGTGGTTTCAAAGTGCTCATTACAAGCACTGACGTGCAAGACCTGATCATTTTCTTCCATGAAGCTAACAGATCTAAATGATCACAACGTGTATGGTTCAATAAACAGCACAGTTGTTCTATTGCAAACATTTTAATATTTTCTGTAGTTAATTTTGTAGGATATAAGTAAGAGGTGCTGAATATCAAAGCAGACCTTTATTATAAAGGAAATACTTCAACATACAGGTCATCATATAGAGGGGGTATGTTTTCACCAGGGTATTTCAGCTCTGATCTGGTACACAATGTACTATATCTTGAACCCACACATACCACATTTGCTGACGCAGCAATGAACCACAACTGTTCTTCTCTTTTTACAGATAAACATTTTGGAGGGTAGATCATTTTGTAGCTCATGATCTCATGTCAGGCTGGATATATTTTAAATATGGCACAATACTTGCAACGTTGCACTGTGGACAAATTATTTATATAAGACAACTGTTGCATTGGTATAACAGTATAACAAATAATTTGTTAAGTACTGTCTGACCACCTACTTTAAATGGCGGCTTTTGTTATTTTGTTTTTGTCCTGCTATCATCATGGGTCGTGAGAGAAACGCAATTTCAATCCTCTGTGTGCCTTGTACACGGTAGAATTGACAAGTTGACTTGAAGATCAAGCACCTGTAGGCTGCCCTTCACCAACACCCAGCTGTGAAGTTGAGTTGTAGGCAGTTTAAATGTCACATGGGCATACTGAGTATTATACATAGAGCCATTGAGTGAGTAATTTAAAATGTGATGCCAACTACTTCACTAGTGATATGTGAGGATATTTCATGGTCACAGGCTTTATCCAGTGTTAACAATCCAGCACTCATCTGAAACTCAGTGTGGTATGGCTTATGCAGTGATCAAAATGCATTGGATAACAGGCTGTGATGCTCACAAACCCAAGAGGGTAGAAGTTTTTCCAATGGATGTGAATGTCTGTCCCACACAAGATAATGATCTGTTTAATGTGATTATTTCTGAACTGTAGTAACTACAGCAACAGAAACAGATGTTACGCACATCTTTACAGTTGTCAATGTAGGTCATAATAACACAGATTACTGGAACAGGTGGGCATTTCCATTCCACAAAATGAGATGCCATCACTGATATTTGGTAAACAATGTAGGTTTGACAGTGCTGCTTCATGAAGCCTATGAATGCTACATACCAATGTACACTCATCTCAAGCCTCAATAACACATAAATGTTGTTGAGGTTTGTATATTTTCAGTTTTGTGATCTTTCAGCTTAGTCATCTAAATCATGTCAACATTTTGTATGATATATTTTACTAGTAATTTGTACACTCGAGATATCAGTCAGCGTCGTACAGGGTGGTTTAAACTTGTGGAAAAAAGGCAATAACAAAGATTTTATTTATGGATCCAGAAAGAGACTTGACTTCCTGTTCATCAGTAACTGAGCTTCTACTGCCAATTGCTGGTGGGAGAAGGTACTGCCCCGACAAAGGTGTGCGCAAGCTGTGGTGTGATGCCCTCAACAAGTCCTGTGAAAATAAAGCTCACCGTGTCTCCCTCTAATGGATTTGGGGCGATACGCACATCAACAACTTCATTTAGCTACCTAATGCTCATTTCAACACTACCGGTGCTGACTGACTGTACCTGCTCATCATATTAAAGTGGTTTAAGCTGCCTCTTAAATGGTCCAAACAAAGTTATCTAAATCCAACAATCCATTAACACCACAATCAACTGTGTGAAATTAATCGAACATTTCTAACAGCCTCGTTGAACTCTATGATAAAAGGTGGAAGTTTTAATTTGGCTTCACTGACAAGTGAGTCGATTCTAACAGGGTGCATTATAGATAGAGAGGCTTATAAGAAGAGGAACAAACCTGCCAAATTTCTCTGTGTATCCCGTCTTGCCCTGCTGTATGACGTGGATGAAGTCGTGTGTGAGGATAAATGGTACACGCTCCCTCTTGATGCCAAACTTGGACTTGAAATTGCCCAGGATGTGACCAAAGTCTATGTGGAAGAGCTGACAGACAAGAAGGCCAATCAGTAAGCACCGTGGAGTCAGGAGAAACAAAATGGAGACTGGATCTTTTCTACAGATAAAAGGACCAACCTGTCCGGTGCTGCGGACCATGATGTTGTCACTGTGGCGGTCTCCGATGCCGAGGACGTAGGTGGCTACACAGTAGCCTGCACATGACAGAGTGAACTCCTCAATAGCCCGATCAAGAGCATCACTGTCAAGAGGAAATATACACGGGATACACATAAGCACATATTTTGCCTGGATTCTCTTCTAAGCAAACCTCAGTGGTCACTGCCACCTGTAACATATCCTGAATTCCAAAAGATGCTCGAAATGCCGTTACTTGAAGGTTAATTTCGTCACCGGGCAGCGTCTTACCCAGAGTTCCTCTCTTTAAGCCAGTTGAGCAGAGCATCCTTGTTGAAGGCCGCAGCTGCTGCCACGTTGCTGCTGGTCAGCTGGATGTTGGCAATCGTGTCTGCTGACGAGACTACCTCGATCAGCCCTGCCCGGTCACCTGTCGCTAGGCAACCATACGGTACAATTCTGCATGATATGTAGAGAAAAGAATTTGTTATTGAATAACAAATTCAAAATATGGGACCCAGCCACCCCTATTGATATATGCAGAACACACATAAACCTCATTTCCACCAAAATGTCTACTGTTTACATGTCCCATTAGGGAATATAGTAAATATGTATATCTATGTCAGTTAGCCTGAAAAATACCAACCACAGATACTAATTTATAACAAATTCCACATGTAGATTTCTTTACACTTCACACACTGCATATACATACTGTAATACATATCAAATCTGAGGTTGATTCATATAGCACTCGCCTGGGTGCAATTCACTCTGTCAGACAGTAATAAAATGTCATGCTGTTTACACTGAGCTGGGACAGGACAGACAGGAACATACGGGGAAGAAAATATGGTGATTATGTAATGGCATGCACACCAGCCAGAATTTGATACATTTTCTTCTTCATTCCCCTTAACCTTTCCTTTCTTTCCACAAGATGGCAGTAGGTCTTCATTGCAGAAATGTGTGACCTGGACAAATCCTCCTAAAATTACTTCCTTTTTCAGTAATAATTTACTGACACAGTGACCGCTAATACATAGTCCATGACCCAATGCTCAAAGAAGACTGAATAATTAATTAGATGTTTAAGGGAGACCTCTTGATGGTTGTTGAGTTTACATCAATGAGAAGACAGACAGCTGACAAGTAAGGATATGTGGGGTAAAATACATCAGCAAGACATCACAGAACAAACTCACGTCTACCACATCACAGTGGTATCATTACATTATCCCTCCCTTTATTCACAAAGTCCCATCACCGTGTTCAAACACATCCCTGTAATCTGAAGCACCGTCCTCAAGCTCAACTGTCAAAACAACCCCCTCCGCTGTTCAGCTCCAGATGTGCCAGTGTATGACAAAGGGAGAAAAAAGGGTTGTAGGAGCACAAAAGTGTGGACTTGATTAAGATGTAAAGCAGATATCGTATGTCTGTGTGTGTGTGTATATATGTGTATAGGGTGTAAAAGGGCTGGAGGTCAAACTAGCATGGGGTGATTTAGTGTCTCCCCTCCTCTGTTGCACCCCACCAGAGCTTCCCCTTCCCTACAGAGAGCAGGAAAAAAACAAGCTCGACAAAGTCTGTCACACGCACAGATGCAAGCACAAAAAAACCAAAACAAAAAAACCCCTCACCTGAGGTCCAGATTAGCCTCCTTCCAAAGCAGATCCATTAACTTCAAAATCTGGAGGGTCAACATGTCTTGTCTTAGGTCTAGGAAAGGAGAGTAAGTGAGGAAGAAAAGTGGGAAAAGTTTTCTTAATTTCAAAAGAAAATATTGAGCTTTTTAAAGCAAAAGCAGAGATTACTTGAAAGACGGAAAGTACCATCTCCATTCTTGAAGATAATTCCCAGGGTGTCGCCCCCCAGCAGCTTGTTGTTGTACACAATCCAGAGTGGCTTCATCTTAGAGTCCATGTACCGACACTTCTCCACACTGATGGGACAATGAGAGAAAGACAGGGAATGACGCATCATGAAACAGAGGAGAAAAAGTTCATTCCGATCTGAAACGTAAGACCTATGTTCAGAATAGCGTCGTCTTACTTGATGCCCGACAGCAGGACATTGGGATTTAGAGGGGAGTGAAGGTCTGACAGAGTCTCTGAGTAGCCGCTCTGCCTTAGACATGTCATCATGGCCTCCTTGGTCAACATTGCCTCCTTGGTCTTACTCCGAGCATTCTTGATGGTTCCCAGCTTAATTAGTTCATTCACTGACTTTAGCTTACTCAGGGCCTCCACCTGGTACAGTCAAAAGACAGAACACATTACAACATTACAACAGTTGCAAATCTTGACAATATGAGTCTGTTTGACTGAAACCCGCCAACAAGCCCTTGGAATGGATTCATCCCTGTTGGAGACTACTGAGCTCATTCTCCTGAAACAGACTGTGTCAGCATTGTGATCCCAAGCCAGTGTGCAAGCACTTCCAAACAGGAAAGTGGGCAGATAAATGACTGTGCTGATGAGGAAGTAGGAGGAAGCGTCCACAGGAGTGACTGTCAGAATCAACACTGTAGAGGGCAAAGGTTAGAGGGCAGGAGGGTCATGCTAAAAATACCATAAATCTAGTCCTGTCTGGGTTGACAATAGACTATAGCTATTCTGGTTCTTGAGTTAAGACTAGTAAAGTAGAGTTAGCAAAAATGAAAAAGAAATAAATTGTGAGAACATTGAACTGTGTGTGCATGAGACAAGAAATAATAGAGATTGAGTGTGTGACCTACTTGTTTCTTTAGAACCTCAATATGAGGGATGCTGCCTCTACAGTAGGCCTCCAGGATGAGGGCAAACTGGACTGAAACAGCTGGCATGTGGATCTCTGACCTGTAGAGGGCAGCAAAACAGCCACTGTCAGAAGAGAAACTTCAATGCTGAAATGTTGCTCACAAACTTTCTCAGTGTCTTTCTAAAATGCATCTGTGCATGTGCACATGTGATAACAGACACATGTGTGTCCATACACACCGTAGGTGCCAGAAGAGGAAGTGTCCAATCTTGCGGTTCCCATGGGCTCGCTCCAGCAGGAAATGGGTGAGGGCGCAGTCATAGTAAGGCTCATAGCGTAACACCTGCACCAACTGTAGCAAGTACTGCGACAGCTCCTCATTACTGGTGAGGAGATGGGGGAAAGGAACAAAGAGAGAAGCATGAGAAGAAGTTCTCTTAGGTAGTTTTCTAGCTTTTACCTTTCTTTCATTTATAAAGTTTTAGTTGGATTTTAAAATGATTATATGCCCGTCTCTCACATAAACAGACAACACACAGCACTATCAACTGAGTGTAACTCATGCATATCATCATTTATAATTTAAAAAACAGAGCAACAAGTAGCAGGGGAAATGTAACATGGTGATATGAATGTAGAATCTTGAATATGAGACAAAGAAAAATAGAGAAGGCCACTGTATTATATAAAAATGAATGTGTGGGTGGATACATATGTTTACCTCATGTCACGCAGACAACCCACAGCATATTCTCTGACATACTGGTCAGGGTAGTTGAAGTCCAGAAGCTCCAGAGCATCTCTGGGACTCAGTTTGGGCCAGATTTGAAGCAGTGCCTGGAGCTGACACACACACACACACACACACACTAAGACTTACACAGATGCACGTTCCTTGTGTAACTCAGCGAATAAAACGTTTAATATAAAAGTGTGATTTGTCTTGAGGTCACCCCCATGGCTGCTAAATTAATCTTACAGTAACTGTGATGACAATAAGGTGTGAAAATAACACTTTCGTATGGCCTGCTATGAAGCAACCTCTCCTGAGTAAACTGCCCGTTACAGGAGTTTGTTTCATGTGTGCTGTGATTGACCCGGGCTCTGCTTTCCAAACAGTACAGGCAGCAGGCAACATCAGTGTCTCTCCACAAGTAACATGCGGGTTTAATGTTGCACATTCTCTTTCTAGAAAAGTGGGTTAATTAGTGAGTCAATAGTTGTACTTAGCTTAAGAGGGCATGTTAATTTCACTGGAAGAGAGCCAATTTTGGTTTTTAAAAGGGCTGATTAAGTCAAATCTTATGTGAGGGTAGTTCTGTCAATTTAAGATGTTTAAATGCAAGTGCAGCACCAACCAATACAACTTACATGTGAAAACATGTAAATACTTATATCATGTGACAAAGTATTCAAAGTTTCAAAAATACTTTAACAGTATCAGATATGAAGTTTGTTGATTTAAGTATAAATCTTACAAGCACTGTCCTCATAAACACTGACGTCACATCCAAAGTACACAGTTGTTTTACCTTGTAACAATGTAACAACCACTTTCAATTTAATTTATCTATGGTGTCACCAAATTGTACATTGAAGAGAACTGACTTTGTCCTCTTAAAATGCATAAACAGTGGATCCGCTGGCTAACCTGGGCCATGTCCTCATGTTTGCTCCACTTGACGGAGAGCAGCAGCTTGGGCAGTGACTGAGGGAAATTCTCACGACAGTCGTAGCGTAGTGTCCAGATCAAATCTTTTTCGTTTTCACACAGCTGAGAGAGCGGGTCCCGCTCCATGATCTCCTTCAGCTCTATGTGGAACTTCTTACCGCCACGACCCTGACAGAAATGAGGAAGGAAGAATGGTCGGTTGGTTTGGGGAGTTTGGGAAAAAGAATACAAAGAACATGTAGAGGAGAGAAAGGGATGAAGGAGAGTTGATGAAGAAAAGAGCCAGGACGTGAACAGAAATCAGAGGATGACCATAAGTAGCAGCAGCGACTGTAAAGAACCACAAGATGGCAGTGTGTATCAAAGTTTCCAGAAATTTATCAGAGCAAGGACTCTCATATTGTCTGTTTAAAGCAAGTTGTATGTCTTCAGATTAAAAAAAAAAAGGGGACACATTTGCAACAGCCAATAATATAAATACAAACCTCATAACGATGCTATGATAAAACAGACAGCAGCTCAAACTTTGATTACAAACAAACAATATTAGAGGAACTGTGTGGTTCTGAAAAGTGACACAAATTGACATACGGTAAAAAAAATAAACATCGAGTTGTAGTTTGTTAATCCACAGTTTCTCACATACATACACACCTCACATTAAAAGAGGTGTGCTCAGGCATGCCCTCTACATAAGGGAGGATTATGTAACTCCCTGCAACACGCCCAGGAGTGGGCCTTTAGTTGAGGGGCGGTGAGAGGAAAACATGCAAGTTATCTGATTAGTCTCTAGTTTTGAAGGGGATATAAATATTTTTCCTGTTACACCTTGCTAAAGTGTGTGTATTTGTTACAGGGAAACCGGTCACATTATTTTCTCCTTGTCTGCATTCTGAATGCAAACAAATGTTTTGCCATCTTCACACAATTATGTCCTGCTGTATATCAACTCACCATGGGTGCACAGTCACTTGCTCTGGCGATCTCTGCAGCTTTTTCCAGTATCTGCAAAAAGTAAGTCAGCATTGTATGACCGATAACACACGCTGAGACAACGCATTAGGCAGGCCGAGCACATTCTCTCATGCTGACAGCCACCACTTCATCATAATCATTAGGTAACGTTCTGAAGAGCACAAACCCACTGCGGTGACAAATTCAACTGCAGTTAAGTCTTTAAAACAAGGTTAGAGACATTGTCTTTCTATGAGTGAGACGGAGTACAATGACTGACAGCTGTCCGACCTTGTCGAATGGGGGGAAGATGATGGGGTGTGACGAGTACTCTGGGAAGTGGATGTGCAGTGCTGTAGCGTTCTCAGTGTATGGGTTGGTCTGAATGGTTCCTATAGGGTTGAGCATCTCTTCAAGTTCGTCTGGGGAAGACACATACAGATACACATGACATGCATTTACTGCATGGAGGCAATCACTGGAGAAGCTCATTTGACCGTAGTTTAATTGTCTTTGGAGATAAAGTAAGTGGGAGAGCGTTTGTGTGCGTATACCAGGAAAGGAAGACCAGCAGTGCAGGATGATGTCTCCTGTCTTCAGCTGGCCTTTGTAGTCAAACACCATTGTGTTGACCCATGCTATGGGGTAGTGCTGGATCACAGAGAGAAAAACAGTGATTAATTATCAGTCATGGATACCTTTATTATTTTATAGGCCTTTATTTGACCTAAGGCAAACTATAGACAGTGTTTGTTCGTGTACAAGCCTGTTTTTCTTACCACTTTCCCTGCTTTGCGGATGGTCTGGTACTTGTTTGTGTGAGCATTTTTGGTGGACTTCTGCTTCTTAACCTTATCCATGACGGCATAGATAGCAAAGCAGAGGCGGGTCATGCGTGGCAGGTCACAGACAGAGAGGTCAAACTCCAGCATGCTGTCTTTCCAGGTATGGTCTGAGCGTCCGCTGCTTTCACTGCTCACTACTGGCTTGCACAGCAGCTCTGTGCCATGAAAGAGGCCCGCCCTCACCTGGACCTGGGTGGGTGGGAGGGAGGGGTTGGCATGTAGATATTTTATAATAATATTTATTTACATAATTACAGGATAGGTCTGATTTTCTTCTATATTTTTCATATTTCCAATGCAGCCCGTCAGTGGCTCTCAACCCCAAACACAATAATTCCTTCTGTCACAGTTTCACTTTTAAAAAGCTGAGCACTATCATTTATAGCAACATTATAACGTTTTGTCGAGGACTATTAATCCATATTTGGTGCTCTAGTGAGCATTTCTGGCAGCAGAATAAACTACAGTCTGTGTGTTCATGGCAATGAAGGAACATGTCAGCCAGTGTAGCTAACCGATACGTTTTTAAATTGTTTTTGGACAACAATGGTGCTTTATGGCACAGGAAGAAGACATGTCAGACTTATACATAACACAGACAATAGATACTAGGATCTATTCATTGTTGAATTTGGTGTTTTCTTGGCAATATGAAGAAAAAAAAAAAAAAACCCAAAAAACTGACCACCAAACGTATCCTTTCATGCCTACTTGTTTTGTGGCTCAGCCTCATGAAAACAAAACGAGTCACAACATGCAGATTAAAATGCTCATCTAGAAGTATTTCACAGTGGCTTCACAGCAGTTATTAAAAACCTTTTTTGTGACTTTCATGACATCTTTATATTCCCTAATTAATTGGGGTACAACTGTAGACTGGTTTTCTGTCTGCAGTGACATAGCAACAGGAACAAATGACTGTTAAGGATGTGGACAAAGCAAAAGTTTACCTTGGCCGTCTCCTCCGCGTTCACCTTGCTGCCCTTCAATAGAGCTATCTTAAACGGGCTAGACACGTCCCACACACATGTCTGTACTTGCTGCAGAGGGACAGTGAGAGGAGAAACTTGCAATGAGTGAGCAGTATTAGCATAATGTACTGTAAATAGATTTACTCCCACAGGCTACTTCTTCACACCCACCAGTTTGCTGCGCACACGCACACGCACACACACACACACACCCCGTGGGAGGTCAGGCGGGTCATTCTGATGTCAAGCCAAGTGGATTTGCGAGGGTCAGCAGTCAGCAGGAAAAACAGCATCACATGACACCTAGAGTCTATGAACATGACTAACTACCACACTTCCTGATGTTTGCTGCCTCTGTCTTTGTGTGTGTTGACGTGTTTAAATGTTTGTGTGCGTGTGATGTGCCTCTTGTCAGATAAGTGACCATGTTTGTGTCTGCATCAACTATTACAGGCAGAAACAAAAGCTCTATGAACTGTATCCTCACAAAAACACCACATCCTTCTGTTCTGTATTTGACCAATTACCAGTCAGGTTTTCCTATAACAGGTTCCTTTCCTGAAAAATAAATCTCACTTCCTTTCTAAGACCACCACACTTCGATGGAAAGCTTATTACAGTCTGACGAGAATCTCCGTCTGCTTCGGTTTCCTCCAATTTCCCTCCCTCCTGCACTGCTGCATAATTTATTATTGTAGAGCACTTAAAACAGTTACAAAGTGAATAACAAATAAATACAGCATCAGAAATACACAATCAGATTAAATTAGGATCGCCAAGACAGCAAAATAAAAAACATGCACAGAAAAGATACTTGGAAATGGGTGATTTGAAAAAAAAAAAAAATTATATATATATTTTATACATATATATTTATGCCTTGATGAAAAGATTGAGCAAAAGCTATTACAGAAAGGTAAAATAGACCAAATTTAAAAGCTAAAGCGACAATTTTGATGATCCATTAACGATTTCATTCGAAAGTGTTAACTTAAATGTGAATATTCACTGACCGTAAAATGGATCTCTTCTGTTTTGTCAGACCAATACTCAAAAACCCAGATATACTTTAAGGCGTGACCTTGGATTCTGGGAAATTGTTATGGATATTTTTTCACAATTTGACACATCATTGACATTTTAAAGAAAAAGGAACTCAATGGAGAAAAGAATCAGCAGGCTAAATCGATATTGAAAATAATTTTTAATTTAGCCCTAACCAACTATCTGGACATTATTTTCATTTATCCTGGGCTCCATGGGGTCATTTATTGTAAATCATGTTACACAATGATTCCTTGAGCCATATTGTCCAGTAAGTATATAAAAAAAAACCCCAACAGAAGTGAGGTGAAATGTGTGGCTGTTTTTACTGTAAATCCACAAAAATGTTTAATCATAACTGCAGGAACAAGTTATGAAAACAACTGTTCTAACGCAGTTGTGATTACACGTGATAAATATGTGTTAATAGGATGATTCACACCTGTAATATTTACAGACTTTCCAAACCTCACATCTCTGGGCACCAACAGTCAGCATGGCATCAGGCAGTTGAAACATCCGGAGACTCACTAACAAAAGGCCAATTAAATTCAACCTGACATTTTAAATGTGGATGCACACATGGAGGCAGCAGCGCCGAGAAAGTAGTGATGTTTTCTGACAACGTGGCGAATGCTGGCAGAACACTGCCTCATAAAAGACAGGTGGCAGCTGCCAAGTACATGTTTACTTGGTAAACCTCCACACCTGCCTCATTCAGTGCAGGTGAATCAAACAAACAGTAGGGCTTTCGCTATTTTGGTGAAACACGAACACTACTCAGTAAACAATGGCTGATATTAAGTGGTTGTTATGTAGTACATGAGAACGTTTTTACATGCATCACACCCTCAGTTTTAGTCCTGGTGATGCCAAATAATTACCCATCAAATCTCATTCATCAATTACATCAACAATAGAATATGAAAACAATTCCAACTAGCAAAAAAGACAATATACATAACAACAACATATATGGCTGTTAGTAAAGTACTGTTTCTCTGAAAGCAACAGCAGATTTAAAAATAGACACAAACCACCACAACACAGAAGTGAGAAGTACATTCATTCACACAGGGACACACATTACTGGATTTACCGTGGGAGCCCTTCTCTTAGGAGGTAGTGGTAAAGGTGGGTTGGAGGACTTGCGGCAAACGACCGCTCCGATGGCAGAGATCTCTTTGTCAAACATGCCCTTGACGGTGCTGGTGTGGACCAGGGTGAGGTGTGGAGACTCCTTGGCTTGCATGCATGCACGGATGTACTGCGAACAAGACAGGAAGTCTTTTAGCTTTGTGCACAGCACACACACAAATGCTAGATCCCCTTTTTAATAGTGTTCTATATCTAAAAATGTAAACTTATTTTGTTCACTTAAATCAGGACACTGCAATGTGAGGCACAAAATTAACAGCAAACTGTGCAAAACATTGCTGCATTAGAAATTAAAGTGGAATCAGCTAGTACGTTTAGCACAGAAAGATAAACAAGCCATAACAAGTAAAAGTTATGCACAGCTTTTCAGCAGACTTTATCAAGTTAACATGCAATGGTGCACATAGACAGGAACACATCCAGTGGCAAGTTGATTTATCTCTTACGTTTAAAAAAATAAATACATAAATCAATCAAGACATGTAACCAACCAAACTAAGCTTGCTGAATTTCAGATACATACAGATTTACCTGCTGCTGAAGCTGCACAACCCTGTCTTAATGAAACGATTGTTCCACACACCAGTGCTTAAAATCTTAAATTTCATGATACCTGACTGAAAATGAAGGCCTCCTGGACTTGAGGCATTTTAATTCCAACAAACTCCCGGAGTAACAGGTAACCTATACTTGCCTTGAGACAAGACATTGTTCCACAAAGGAGAGGAAGTAGTGTTGAACCAAACAGCGAGATTATCTTAAGGATAGAACACGCTATGAAATATGTTAACCCACTGCCAATCTTTCATTCTCTCCTACGTCAGAACCGCAGCTCAGAAACAACCAGATTTGTCACAACAAGTGTTTTAAATTTTTTTTGTATGTGCCAGCGGACACGTAGCCACATAATGTTTGTTACCTCAATCTTTTCTGAAACAGTGAAAAACAAGTTACACATAAACATGCATACTGTAAACACACAATTCACCATCTGCACCGCAACCAAAAATATTACTGTTGCACTTTCAAGCTCTTTCATTTTAGTTTATACCTAAACTCTTCCAAGTCAGATCTTACAATGTCTCTTCTTGGAATCATAAACCAGGCTTTGGGCTGTTATTGGCACACTAATGTAACACCACATGACTTTCTCAGACCTAGAACAACTGTGCTAACCACGCAGATATTTAGAATACACAGCAAGAAAAGCTCATCACTTTTCATTATTATTATCATCATAATCTCTGGACTTGCCATTGACACAAGTGACACATTTGAGTCAGATTTATGTCCATCAGTCTCTAACAGATATGGCTGTCGCGATAACTGCAAAATTGAAATACCGCGTTATTGGTCAAGCCTACCGGAGGAGCACCGCAGCCACCGCAATGTTCATACTTTACACTTCAGGGAGTGTTAAATTAATAAATTAGTGCTACAAAAGTTGCCCAACCGCTGCAGTATGTAAATTGACTTGATAGACATGCCGTGAAGGTAACAATATAGCTAACTGAAAAAGACAGTCAAACTACAAAAATTAGTTTTGCTTGGCAACGTTGCTGATTAGCACCCCAGCAGCTAGCTTGCTTCGACCATAATGCTGCTGTTAGCGGCTCGCTGTGCAGTGAGGTGACCTTGACCACTGACCTTGTACTGAATCAGGGGGTGGTCTCCACAGAGGAACTCCAGACACTGGCTAACCCTCAGTACGTACTGACCCCTCCATGCCTCCTCCTCAGGACCGTGGGTGGTCAGCCACTTCCTCAAGGCCAGCTCCATCAGCTCCTTGGAGGTGCAGGACGATGCCACCTTCAGACTGGCTGAGTCCTGCAAGACAACACAGGAAAGCAGAGACAGAAACTGATTCAAGTGTTTACTAGAGCTCAAAAGTCAAACTGTAACCCTTGAGAGATAACAGCTCAAATGTCAATAACTGTTCCTAAAACATTTTTTTTTGTCAAATCTGGGCTAAAAGATGTTAAAACAAAATGGAAGAAATGTCAGAATGCACACACCCTTTATGACCTGCTGGAGGCCTTGCTGCTGGTTCAGATCAGATAGTGAAAAGGTAGATAGAAAGATAGTTGTGAGAGTGAAACATGATCTCCACTACTTACATACAGACATACAGTTTTTCCATACACTGTTGTCTAGTTGAGATGAATAGAGAAAAGCAAAGAAGAGAATAAAAGATAGGTGGGCATGAACAGACAGGGCTTAACATACAACATCATGCAGACAGGCCCTTTACTCCTCATATAGCTCAAAACAAGATACTCTGAATTTTCACACACACAGTTACAGAGTTCATATACAAATAATCACTTGGAAATGTTATAATCTGTAGTTGAAAGAAGTCACGCTGCAACAGACACTAAAATGCATCCACACAGTGCCACAGCCAGCCTATGTTCCAATATGTGCCACACTGAGGCTTGCTGCTGTTTCATCCTATTTATAACACGACACTGACCCCGATACCTGAGATGAAATTATAATTTCCTGGAGGTTTAATAAAATGCCATCCATTTTTAATTAACAAACAAAAAAGGTCCATGGCTTATGGTGGAACCACAACGCCAAAAAAACAGCTATCCTGAAAGCATTTTACAACATTACCTTAAACTGTCTGAACATTATTTAGAAGATGAGGTTAGATAAGATTTTGATGTTAATGTAGTTCAAGACTAACAGGAACATGGCCATGATTAACCACTAAATACGCTATAATCCTAATGATAGAACTAAGAGTGAGGTTCACACCAAACCTTGGTCATATTCACATGAGAACATTAAATTACACCACCACACTTCCTGTCTATAGTGTGGCTTATTGTGACTGGCCTCCCAAATAAGACTTCCTGCCAATGTCCACCTGCGCGCACTGACACAGATGGCCTGGCTTTGTGTACGTGCATGTGTGTCTGTGATGTTTATCAAAGCTGATATACACAGGTCTGGAGGGACCCGACCATCTGTTTTATCATCAAATAACGTTATTTCTTTAACCGGAGCAAAGAGAAAGACAGAGAGACAAAGACAGATGGAAGGAGACAGAGTTCAGCGAAAGAGAGGGAAGTTCATTTTAATCAGTGCTTGCGTCCCTTGAGCTGCCATGCTAGCGTGTGTCCGGGAGGATGGCATAATTTGCTGATGGTTTTGACCCACTTAGTGTTGTCACATGATTTGCTAGTTGGGCTCAGTCACGTGACTATTGTGAAACTGCCAACTGTGAGCTCCAAGGCTGAGCTCCATGTGTCTGCATTGGTGGAGTCATATGGCTACTTCTGCTACTCAAACAAGGTGGTTTTGTCTGCTGTAGTGGTCCACCAAGTCACACTGTTCTGAGGGAATTATGTATGCAGAGTTTTTGTACAGGCAGCACCTTATGGGTTTTGCTAGTGCGTCAATAGATTTTTTCCCCTGATGCAGTTCAGTTAGAAAAAATTATGACAATAATGAATACAGACAAGTACATGAAGAGCTTTTTGTGTTTGTACCATTCACTGTAAGGCCCCTGAGCCTTAAGAGAAGGTCTAAGATAATTGAAAATTTAATGTCAATGCCCTGGTTTTTTTTTTTAATATATATTTATTAGGGTTGTACCGAAGCTTGAAGCTTCATTCAGCTTGACATTCGAAGTCTAAATCAAAATTCAAATACTGCAGTTTTTTTCATGACTATTCATTCTGCAACCCACAGGAGTGTGCTGTGTCTGTTTGACCTAGGGCGGGGCCGAGCTACACGCAAGCACAGCGGGTAGGATGAACAGTGGCTTCGGCTGCAAAATCTGGCAATGTGGCTCTTTCCAGCAGGGTTGTGCAGAGGTGTGGCCGTGTTTGTTTGTTTTAGCTCTAAAAAATTAAAAAAAATTAAAAATTACTTTTAATTTCTCTGATTCATTGCTTTGTTTTCGCCAACGCTGTTCCCTCTCCTCATTCGCTCTCTAGCTGGCTCAACACCACTGCTCTCTCTCTCTCTCTGTGTCAAGGGTTTACAAACAGCAAATGACAAATCCTACTTGCCTGTACTTAACAAAAATAGACCAACTCTTTTCATCTGATGAATCACTTGAATTTTTTGGGGGGTGGGTGTCATAAAATATAACAGACCTTTTAAGCGTCATTCAAAAACCTCAATTGAAGCTTGGAATAAAAAAAAAAAAAAGATTACTTTTGTTACATCCCTAATATTTATTTATATTCGAGAATTAAACTAAAATGTTTCCAATTCAAAACTGATCTTCCTCAAAATTCACTGGAATCTATAGTAAATTCCAGGACTGAAAAGAGGAATCCTTTGTCCCGTCCTATAGGGCTCTTCCTTTGACAAGTTTCTAGGTAGAACAATTGTCCTGGATGTCTGTATATTTTAGATGGCCTTGCCACATTTGATGTCTAAAAGGTCAGGTTATGTATTGATAAAATATTGATGTTTTCCCATTAGCTATAAGTTCCCATGGAATTTGATAACTGGTCCGGGTGCTACAACCAGGCAGGGAAACAATATTGTTGTTTTAATGAAACTTTGTTTAGGGGGATTTCCTGTGTCCAACTTCCGTCAGCCACTGTCCAACTTCACTTTGAATGCAATCAAGGACAAATGAAAGATAAAAATAAAGGGGGAAAAAAAATCATTTAACAGTCAGTGGACCACATACTCTTACCTGAGACTGGTCAAAGTGGATAATGACTTTCAGGTCATTGAGCCCATCAGTGATGGCTGACTCTGCCACCGGCTCCAGCTGTGGGGAGAAGCAGGCCTGCAGCCACTCTGTGCATGTCATCATCTGGACCTGTTGCATCCTTTCCTCACTCATACGAAACATCTTACTGCGAAAGTCCTTCACCTCCTGGTCATTTATAGCATCAAATTCATGGAGACCTAGAGGTGGTAAGGAAAGGGTATTGCTATAAAGTAGGATGTGTCATGATTTTAAATTAAGTGGACAGATTAGATTACAGTAATATTTTGTAACAATCTCTCTCATAATAGGCCTCAAGGGGTCTTCATGATATGAGAACTCATTCTAAAAATAATCATTATGTCTTTAGAAATAGGTAGGGACCCTGATTAAGTTTTGTTAAATGTGAACTAAACATGAAGCTTGTAAGATTCAAAGCTGTCAAGTAGGAGGCTGTAGATTGTAGGGTAACATGCTTAAATATACACAGGCTTCAACGTTCATTAAAAATGCACAAACACCTGTGCAACACTTGATGCCAGGCACATGTATGTAGTAGTAGTGAATGTGTAAAAACTCCTAATATTCACACTAGTACCAAATACTAGAGGTATGAACTGCTATTTGGCTGATCATACTGCATCTCCCTGCTCCCTGTTGAGCTTTTGTCTGTGTTTTTATCAAAGGGGTGCTGCACAATAATCTCTTGGTAATGAAAACAACATGTTGACATTTAAAGCCATTTACCATTCATATGACCCTCAGCATTCAAAGAAGTGCTCCGGACCACATTAGCTGCATTGTAAGAGTGTGCGAGCTGGTTTGTGTGACTGTATTTCTGGAGGGGAAAAAAACATGGTTGGCCTGGCGAGTGTGTGTTAGTTTGTTACTGTGACACACTGCACGAGGTTAGGGGTGTGTGTGTCGATCCAGACGTGCCTGTGGGGTGCCTTTTGCAAACACCACTTTACTCTGACAAAAAGATCATGTCAGACCAAAGTGGAGCCAGGAGAAGAGAATATCAATACCGTCCAAGTCTCCTTCAATTAAACTCAATTAAACTTGAGACCCTTCTCTCCCTCTTTGCTTATCCTCTGATGATGTGACCCAAGGACTTCCATAATACTGGATATCATTGTTCAGGAGAGGGCTGAATGTGTGCATTTGAGTGCGACTTCACTTGTTAAAGAGTACTAGGATATAGGGGTTCTTTATAATTATGTGTTTTTATGATTTGTATGAAGACAAAATAAAAATAAATGTAGCGTGCATGTAGTTGTGTGCATGCATGTGTCACATTTTAAAATAATGAAGTTGCTAATTATTTTCTTGATTAAACAATTAAATCGCTGTCAATTAAGAAAGTCTTTATTTCTCTTGTGCACCAAATCTGAGTTTCAACAAATGTTTAATCACCTCAGAGGACTGGGCTTTTCTCCAGTACTGCTCGATCCCCCTCTGCTCCTCTAAAAAGGCCTAATCTTCACCAGAGATAATACAAAGTGACAGGTGATGGATGACATGTCAGGAACATGTCCAGTCCATCCTCACACTTCTCTATCAGACAGCAGAGCCACTGATAGGAGCCAGCTGCATATGGGCCTCAGGTCTGATGGCTGGGGTGAATGTGCCGGGTAGGACAGCTACTGGAGGATGTGCTTAAGGCTTGTTGTGTGGGGGGGGAAAGATTTACTGTCCCACTTACCAGCTCTTAAGTGCTTTTCTTTATTGGGAATGTCAAACAGGGACAGTAAACACATCAATCAGGGAGTCTTGTGTGTGAGAGCTTGCACGATAATTTGCCAGTTTTAAAAGTGAAGCTGTCTTACCCTTGCCAATGAGCACGCCGATTTTGGAGTCCAGCAGGCGCTCTGCTCGGCCGCAGTTGCGTGTCACCAGCTTGAGGACTGGTAGGAAAGGGCGGACGTCGCACAACCTGCGAGTTTCGTCCTCCAGTTCTTCGTGCACAGCTGCCTGGTTGACACACTCGAACATGTGGCTCTCCATCTCGCCCAGGGCGGGAAACAAGGGGAACGACTGCGCCTGCTTCCATAAGAGCTGGAAAGGAGACGAATAATTGGAGTTTCACTGAAGTGCTTTTCCACTACAAAACCACAGGAAGCGTTTCTATCATCTCCATTAGACTCAATTACATAAATCCTATTTAGAATATGTGCAACCGGAACAAACAGCATCCTTGTTTTTGGCTTGATGGCCAAACATAATAATCTAATGGTTGTTGAAAGGGTTTGATAAAGCCAGACTTCTTAACCATTACAGCCTTTTGATGGAGTTGAATAACGTGAGCAGCAAAATGCTGTTTTTTTTGTTTGTTTTTTTTAACATATCATAATGGTGTAATATTCTGACAAAAGTATATATTTCATGATCAAAGACAAACATGACTCATGGGAACATGACAGCTTCTGGGCGAGCCACTCAGGATGAGAATAATTATGTCCACCAGCCAATCCTGGCATGATTCATGTCCCTGTGCCCCACACAGCATGATCACAGGGTTGGGTGTCAAGTTATGCGTGTTTGTCTGAGGTTATAGAGCTACGCTGTAGCATCCTGGAACAAGACACGTTTGCCCTCCCAACAAATATCTTCTTCTCCAGAAACCCTCGTGATTTTGTGATCTCACATCTCTCCACAAACATGCAAAATAGAAAAGGGGATTTAATTATTTGATTTTCTTGGCAATGAATTATCAAAGAAATAGCTTTGTTTATTGCCATGCCATCATGATTTGTCAATTAATATAATTTTCTACAGGTTTACAAGCAAGCAGACTGTACAAGTTACAAATGGAAAATGTAGCGTCAGTAACAAATTTTAAAAACAGCTGATGCAGCTGGAAACTGCTTTCTGAGAGATCTAAATTAGTATGACTGAAACAGTCATTCAAAAAAAACTTCTCGGTAACTGTTAAAGGGTTAAGTATATAGATGTCTGGAAGGCCTGCAAATGTCTGGAAATATTCTACCCTTTGGCTAAACTGATGTACACAAAGAAAGAGACTTGTTTATTTGCTATTCAGAACAACCTCTTCAGGTGTAGACAATTTCTGTCTAGGGAAAACGTGTTTAGAGTTGTATCAATGCAACTAGGGCTGTACATATCTAAAGTAATCTAAATTATGTTTATGATTAGTCAATTAATCTAACGACTAATTGTGTATTCTAAAGAAAAAAAATTGTTGCCCATTACTCGATTAACATACCAATTTATCCAAAATAAATCTCAAAAAACATAAATAAATTAATATTTTATTCAATCATACTGATGAAGCACATTAGAATAATGACAATAGTAGCATATCTTAAAATGAATCCAATTTCCAGGTCACTGATAAGTTGTGATAACAACAACAGACATTAATTTCCAACTTTAAATGTTTCTGACATGGAGTTATTTCAGTAGAGTAACTTGCAGTATGATAATCAAATGTATTTCTGCATCAGTGTGGGGCAAAGAATATAACTGAAACGATTTAGACTCCACAGACCGTCTCTACACAGATTGGCTGTAATGTTAGTTTCAGCAGTTTCAGCTGCCGAACGTAAGATGACACACGCTGTCATGTTACCATGACAGCAGCGGGTCAGAAATTACTTTTAACATGAAGGCGAGGAATAAATACACTGCTCAAAAAAATAAAGGGAACACTTAAACAACACAATGTAACTCCAAGTCACTCACACTCCTGTGAAATCAAACTGTCCACTTAGGAAGCAACACTGATTTATAATCAGTTTCACATGCTGTTGTGCAAATGGAATAGACAACAGGTGGAAATTATAGGCAATTAGCAAGACACCCCCAATAAAGGAGTGGTTCTGCAGGTGGTGACCACAGACCACTTCTCAGTTCCTATGCTTCCTGGCTGATGTTTTGGTCACTTTTGAATGCTGGCGGTGCTTTCGCTCTAGTGGTAGCATGAGACGGAGTCTATAACCCACACAAGTGGCTCAGGTAGTGCAGCTCATCCAGGATGGCACATCAATGCGAGCTGTGGCAAGAAGGTTTGCTGTGTCTGTCAGCGTAGTGTCCAGAGCACGGAGGCGCTACCAGGAGACAGGCCAGTACATCAGGAGACGTGGAGGAGGACGTAGGAGGGCAACAACCCAGCAGCAGGACCGCTACCTCTGCCTTTGTGCAAGGAGGAGCAGGAGGAGCACTGCCAGAGCCCTGCAAAATGACCTCCAACACAAATGTGCATGTGTCTGCTCAAACGGTCAGAAACAGACTCCATGGGGGTGGTATGATGGGCCTGATGTCCACAGGTGGGGGTTGTGCTTACAGCCTAACAACGTGCAGGACGTTTGGCATTTGCCAGAGAACACCAAGATTGGCAAATCCGCCACTGGCGCCCTGTGCTCTTCACAGATGAAAACGTGTGACAGACGTGACAGAGTCTGGAGATGCCGTGGAGAACGTTCTGCTGCCTGCAACATCCTCCAGCATTACCGGTTTGGCGGTGGGTCAGTAATGGTGAGGGGTGGCATTTCTTTGGGGGGCCGCACAGCCCTCCATGTGCTCGCCAGAGGTAGCCTGACTGCCATTAGGTAGATGAGATCCTCAGACCCCTTGTGAGACCATATGCTGGTGCGGTTGGCCCTGGGTTCCTCCTAATGCAACACAATGCTAGAGCTCATGTGGCTGGAGTGTGTCAGCAGTTCCTGCAAGAGGAAGGCATTGATGCTATGGACCGGCCCGCCCGTTCCCCAGACCTGAATCCAACTGAGCACATCTGGGACATCATGTCTCGCTCCATCCACCAACGCCACGTTGCACCACAGACTGTCCAGGAGTTGGCGGATGCTTTAGTCCAGGTCTGGGAGGAGATCCCTCAGGAGACCATCCGCCACCTCATCAGGAGCATGCCCAGGCGTTGTAGGGAGGTCATACAGGCACGTGGAGGCCACACACACTACTGAGCCTCATTTTGACTTGTTTTAAGGACATTACATCAAAGTTGGATCGGCCTGTAGTGTGGTTTACCACTTTGATTTTGAGTGCGACTCCCAAATCCAGACCTCCATGGGTTGATAACTTTGATTTCCATTGATAATTTGTGTGTGATTTTGTTGTCAGCACATTCAACTACGTAAAGAAAGGAGTATTTAATGAGATTATTTCATTCATTCAGATCTAGGATGTGTTATTTTAGTGTTCCCTTTATTTTTTTGAGCAGTGTACATTTTTAATGGACTACGTGTCCTTATGCTGATAATGTGCTGTGCTTGTGTGGAGACAAAGTTAACAGGATTGCGGTGCTGCCGTCGATACTTTCGCTTTAGGTGTTCATGCTGCTTCACGTACTCATGGACAACAGTTTTGCTGCAGTGACGCCATTTCCAATTCACAGAGATCACGGAACAGCACGTTGTTGAGTGTCAGTCTAAAATACTCCCAAACTTTAGACGGTCGAAGGCGCGGTCTTGTAGCTGGAGCTTGTCCGGGTGGAATCCCAGCTAACACCGGATGCAGCGATGTTTTGACACGCATAATGCAAGTCGACGTATTTACGTAATCGATTACGTCGACTACAGCCCTAATGCAACACATAATTTTTACATCAAAAACTATAAAATTATCTTTAACATAAGCCATGAGAAGGTAGTACATTAAACTACCAGAAATGCTGTACATTGTAATGCACTCAAATACCACAACCTGAATTTAGTAATAAATTTAGACTGTAATAAATACTAATTTTGCAAAACTTAACATTTAATTGATTCAACTCAGAAGAAATATTCTACATGATGTTGTAATGGAATATATTTTGTAAGATGTTCCTCTGTAAATGAGGTGAAACACGTGTTATAAAAGAAGAGTTTAGCCTCAAACCAAGCCTCAGGGTGGTTAATGCAGGGCTATTGTATTTCAATGCCTTGTATTGTAACTACTGTGTAGTTGAAAACAATACCTCTCACCCATTACCAAAACACATCAACATCACATCAATTATCAAAAAAGCTTCACACTACCACATACTTTGTGGCCCTTTATAAACGATGTGTCAGTGATGGTGACTTCTAGGGCTTCCCCTGTCTATGATTTTCCTAGTTAGTTGATCCCCACATGTTTCTGATCTTAATTCAATTATTTACATCAATATTTTTGGGGCATAAGAAAACGGTTTCAGGGCTGAGAAGGAAAGTAATATTTAACAGTGTTAACACTGTGCTGTATTTTGGAGAAATACAAAACCGTAATAATGAGCCTTTAAAAATTACATTTGACAAGGGGCATGATGTGAGCCGACTGTTAGCGGTAATGATTCTGAATGTGTCAGACCAACCAGCAAGGTGACTAAACATTTTGTAAATTTATTTCAACACAGTATAACATCACTTACCATTGTACAAAACACAGGAATAAAAATCTTCCAACTTCACAAGAACAAACACTTGCAGACTTATCACCACGATGGATGTATGAGGTCACTTACAAAACTAACTTGCTACAAACTTGCTCCTCTCCCTCTTGAAACCCCTTCTGTCCCTGCCTGAACCCGCCCTGTCAAAGTCATCCCCAGAGTTAGAATCCTGGTCGGAGCCGCTGTAAATAACCTCAGTACTGTATTCTCAGTTGTCAAACTGGCCTATGTTGGTATCAGAGGCTGTGTGTAGTCCTGGTATGGCTGTGTTAACTGGGAAGCTGCTGAGCCTGATTCCGTAGCCCGCTAGACCAGCAGATCCCAAAGTTTGGAGTTTGAGGTTTCTTTTTTTCCCCCCTTTTCTTGTGACTAACCCACTGATGAAAATGAATCGTTGCCTTAGTCGACTATTAGGGTGCAGTCCTAGTGACATCTGACCTCCACTTCACAAAATCATCTGTTGTCACTTATGACGTATTGAGCCAGTTGCATGCCTAAAGCAATAGCTACTCGCAAACAAAAAACACCCAGCCAGCCGCTACAGCCACCTCGTCAAAACAGGCATTAGATAATGTTTAACTGACCAGCTGTGTTACTGTGTGTAGAAACTTGTAAGTATAGGTGTGTGGGCTGTAGACTGTGTTCTTCTTTATTAGGACAACAGGCATGTAAGGACAACATAACGTCAGGACACATAACAAGCAAATTAATAAATTTAATCTCCTTGAAGTGTGTTGAAAGTTAAGTTTACAAGAATCTGTTAACTATCTGTGTTGTAACAACGCAGCTGAAATGACCTCACCTCAAAAGCAACATATGGCTTAAAGAACAGCTGATATACAAATCCCATTTTAGCCCAGACTCTTTGCTGTCACCAAAGCCAGTACCACTCACCAGCTTGATGTGCTGAATGGTGGCCTCGCGTGGAACATCCATCTGGATATAGATACCGGTGGGCAGCAGAAAGTCCACAGTGATCTGGTCCAGAGCATGGCCGGCCAGGTGCGGGTGGGCTGCCCATATGTCCAGGAGGTCTGTCATGGCAGGAGGCATGGCAAGGGGCACCACACACCACCTCAACCATAAGGACCTGGAGGGACAGAGGATAACACATTTTAGATTCATGGTTTTAATGAGTGCATTGTAAAAAAGGACATGTTCATTGAAATACGCTTTATTTTCCCCATTCATTCAGATATTTCTTCTCAAAAGGTCACTGATGATTAAAGGGTGTAGGTGTGGGGTAACTACAAATCCGCCTTTAAAAACTTAATTACAGAGGAGAAAATGATAGATAGGTTTTAAAAAAAAAGCTGGACACAATGACAACTGAAGCTAATAGAAAGCAAAATTAGTCATTCATCCTTCTAACATACAACATACAACTCAACCAACCTAAATTCCAAATGCACTTCATGGGAACATGTTAGTCACATGCTGTCACGACGGATAACACTTTCCTGGAAACCTTGCAGCTCAGGGTGATATTCCAGAAAGGCATGAGGCCATTCCTCAACGCTAACTTAGTTGTTTAGACTATTTCAAGTTTGGTTTAAACAATCAAGATAACTGCACATACCTGAGATGAGTTCACAGAAGGCTTTACAAGAATTCAAGAGTTGAACAACTGTGGCTCTATAAACATCTTCAACCCAAATGCAACCCTTGTCAATAATGACAACGCTTTAAAAGCCTCCAGTAATACTGTTTCAAGTCCAAGATGTGTTCAAACACTCCTCCTAAAAAAAACCCACACTTTATCATTCAACATTTCAATCATGTATTTAAATCACCATTGTGCCGTTTCTGCTTGCTTTTCTATTATCCTTTTCATTAACAGCAAATGATTCAGTGTCGTTGTGTCCCTGTGGGGGCAGCACAGTGCTGAGTGCAGAGGGAGGCCCGGTGGCTTTAACTTGGGTGAGGTCCAGTGCTCAGAGGAATGCCCACTAAGCAAACAGAACAAAAAGGTCAGTCTGCCCTCCCCTCATCTGACAATCTGGTCCCCCTAGCTGAGAACACACACAATGAAAACACTCACACTTAGATGCATAACGCATGCCTAAGTAAAAACATATGCACCGTAATGATCAGGTAAGGCAGGAGGGGGTTTAGCCTGCCATGTTCAGAAGTACTTGCTCAGAAAGGCCATTTGTGTCAATCACGAATTGAGAAGACTCAAATCTCAAAATTTGGTGCACAATAGTGTAAACATGCATTCATGAACAAAAAACAAATGCACACATGTGGACACAAACACATGCATGTTAATTGCAGTGAGTTCAATTGAGCTGCAGTAAGTGGCTCCCCAGCTGCTGGTGTAAAACAACCACAGCTTGGTTTCCATTTGGTCTTGTGCCTCAACCACAGCTGTACAGTCACATCACTACCACCTGCCCTTTTCTCATTACCTCGTCCTCAAATGGCCCAGTACATTAACTCTTCCAGTATGCCACAGGTCAATCTCCATTTTCCTCTCGATCCACCCATTAAATAATGACAGCTCTGATTGCCTCTAATGGTCTTCCCCCTCTAAGGTAAGTGCTCCAGCTACCAGTTATGCCACGTGCCTGAGGATGAAGCAATATCTGCAGTGCATTTGGAGCCACGCACTCAGCAACTTAACATTATCAGCCATACAAAAGAAACCGTCTTGTGTGTGTTTCTGTGTGCTGCTCAAACTGTGCTACTGTATGTGACATGGGGTGACGCAGACGTAATCACTTAAACCCAACAGAAACAACCACACATCATGCTACGCAGGAATGCTGATGTAGGAAATAACTCCTACATACAATACAATGTTTTACTCTCTCACACACACACACACACACACACACTTCCAGGCCGCAACAAGACAACACACAGCACCACAAGAAACTGTTCAAATGAACAGTTGGAGGGCGGCTGTGGCTCAGGAGAGAGTGGGTTGCCCGTTAATTGGAAGGTCAGTGGTTCAGTCCCCGGGTGCATGTCGAAGTATCCTTGGGCAAGATACTGAACCCCGAATTGTCCCTGCATACGAGTGTGTGTGAATGTTAGCTTGTGTTTGAGCACTTGGGCTCAGTGCGTGAATGGAGAATGTATTGTAAAAGCGCTTTGAGTGGTCGAAAAGACTAGAAAGGCGCTATACAAATACGGAGCATTTACAGACAGTGGCGAGCATGTAACATCCCAAGGTGCACAGTTACATACTTAAATAGTAACATGACACCCAGCATGTCTGTCTGACGCACTGACAACACTGAGTGATCAGGGATGGATGAAGTACATGTGCGCCTATGCATATAAACACTTGTCTCATTAATTATGGGCCTCTAGAATGACGTTTTCACACCAGACAGCTTGAATAGTGTCTCATCCTGCTGTGATGCAGACACACTTGTCTCTCATACACACACACACACGTAAGCAGGGTTACTGAAGATGTGGTGGCAGACAGCCAGAGGTCTACTGCAAGGTCAGGTTTCAGCGGGTGGATCAGAGTAGAACAAGTGGTTTGCAAGATTGCTGAGAAAGAGCGTTTCATGTGACAACAAGCAGAAGAGCCTGAAGGGATCCATGGTTAGCCAGCGTAAACGATGTATCACTATGGTGACTCCAGTCCACAGCTCCCCAGGCATACTTTGATGACCAATTGCTTTTGTAGGTGCAGGACTATGATCTGACTTACGTGTGCTTTGCCGGTTTTCTGTGCACACCAAGGCAGATTTTAAATTTAGGTAACAATTACAACAACTGTGATTCAAGGCATTTTGTGTTTAATTTTTGTTTATATAGGATATTCATTATTGTTCCAAATGCTCCCTTGCTCGTTTCCTTTCACACACCCAAAATACAGCTGTTGACATACCTCTTTCAATCTCCACGTCTGATCAAATATCTGACATGGAGACTCAGTTACATCTTTTACAAAACTCCTGAAATCAGGTCTTTTCTGTGAAGCCCATAGTCTTTAGACTTTTTATTCTTGACTTGTGTAATTGTTTTGCACTGGAAAGGGGTGAGTCGGTAAATCAAAAGGACAGTTGTTAGACAAACTGCTTTAGTTTTGTGAAAATGCCACTGAAGGTAGATGGGAAGACCGAACAATATAACCTCCAACATACAGCACACTGCAACCAAGTCAGCCACAAAATCATACACTATAGAGAAAGTAAAATCTTTGCTTGTAATAGAAGCAGTTCCTCTAAACCAGTGACATGTTGTGAAGGCTTTCATGTCCAGATGCATTTATGGTTATTTAAACACTGGCGTTACTCAGCACTCCCTTTCTAAAGCTCTCTGTCTGACAGTAAGAGCCCTGTGAGGCGCTCTACAATGGAGTGTGTGTCCACGCATCTGTGTCTCTGACTGACTGAAAAAGAAAGGCTAACATAAGTGTGTGTGTGTGTGTGTGTGTGTGTGTGTGTGTGTGTGTGTGTGTGTGTGTGTGTGTGTGTGTGTGTGTGTGTGAGTAAAAGGTCACGCCTGGTGATTAAGAATCCTGTGATACATTTGTCCACACTGTGCTAAAAATAAAGTTCACAAAGAGGATCTAAGACCTCTTCACCTCCTCACTACAAAAACTGTACTGCTATAAATGAGTACACACAGGCAATACTGAGGCTGAATCAGTGTTTCCATCTCTGGGCAAGCAGAGTGAGTGAGTTTTACAAAAATATAGACACTTTCGAAGTGTCTCGAAGAAAATTTATTGATGAAGAAAGGATTAATTGATAAACTCACGACAGACGGTCTTAAAATAAGCGGTTGGTCCAAGAAAGCCATTTATAAAGGATGTCGCTTTGGGCTCTGGGAAATTCTGAGTATTTTTTATAGTTCTACTTACTTTGTTGTTTGAACGACTGCACCACATATCTTGTTTCACTTTCAGCCACTAACCGCAATGGCACAGAATGATACAGAGTTTATACAGCTGTAACACACACTAAACAATCTGCAAACAAATAAATAAAAAAAATAAATAAAAAAAAGGCATATTTCTATAGACATTTGTATACATAAGCTTTTCGAAAGCAAAAAATGATCAGATCTGTGAATTTGAAGATAAAAATCTGTATGTAAAATCTGAATATTTATTCAGGTTGTGATGTTTGCATTTGGAAAACAGTTTTACATGTGTTGAAATTGCTTGGTATTTGTGCGTGGATTGGAACACGCATTTGTGAGTACTCAAAATTACACACAAATGGTTGTACACGTGTAAATCTTCCTTTATATTTGTATATCACATAATACACATTTGTGACCATTTTGAGTCTAATGTCACCCTATAATAACACAACAAAGCTGGATGCTATTGTACTGCACCACCACAGGCTGTAGACTAAACGTTTTTAATCACAAGAAGCAAGGACAGACACTGAAGTTTATCCCAGCAACAGCACATGATCCATTCAATAATGTGTAAACTGTCAGAGGGGTAGAGATGAATTAACTGTGCTTGTAGCTTTGTGCACAATATACTTACTGCGTGCAAATCTGTCTGAATATTAGTTTGTGTTGGCCTGTGTGTGTGTGAAGGTTAACAGGAAAGCTGTTAAGCTCAACAGTATGTGTTTGTTTAGGCGGTGTGTGGATAAGTGGTCAGCTGGGGTGTGGGTGTGTGTGGCGGCACTAGCACTTAGTGTATTCAGGAGTGGATGTAGGCGGAGGCTGTAGACAGTAAACACACAGTCAGGTGTAACGGTCATTCTAACTCTGACACACTGTGACGGGGTCAGTGACTAGACTAGTTTGTGCATGTTCATGTATGACTTTGTGTTTGTCCAAAGTGACTGTCATATGTTTACATTAACTACTTACAAGCTAAACCTGAACATGAAGGAAATGTAACAAAAAACCTTTAGGCCAGTATGAGGTCCTAAAGGTTTTTGTTACATTTCCTTCATTATATAATACACACCTTTTCATGATTTGATTTTTACACCTTTGCTGCATCCAACAACTATTTCTTGCTTCAATGCCTTAGTTCCTCCACAGGGATCAGTTTCATCTAATTTTACCAAATCAAATCATCTTCTAAGTGCTACTTCCTACAGGAAACAAAGATGCGTCTTGCTCGGAACTATAAATGAGGAAGTGTCT